TCTCAGACCCTAGTTAACAGGCAAAGGAAGAGGAGACCCACCCGCGTCTGCAGCTGCTTGTCAGCAGCTGTGCCCATACTCTCACCCAGGGCTCCTTCCTTGATGCCCTCTGGCCCAAGAGCCATCATGACTAAAAGCAGAGTGAGAGGAAGTTAATATTTCATGAGACAGAAGTAACTGCAGGACCATCCGATGGACAGGTGCAGACGGGCTGGCTCTCGTTTCCAGGTACCCCAGGGCCTCTGTGGGAACACTGCTTAAGGTGAAGTATCTCATGAATCAGGCTTCTGACGGAACATATGTGCCCACGTCGTTCCCTGTGGGACTCTTTCCCTCCTAGAGACCAGCGTGTCTCACCACGTTTCACACTGCTGCAAGAGCAATTATGAAACGTCGTTTCCATAAAAATAAAAAGCAGGAACCGCAAAGTGCAAGAGCAGCGAGTACTGACCTTGACCGAGGGTTGTTTCCAGTTCAGATAAAGGAAACGCGGCACAGAAGACTTTGTTACCGCGCAGACGTCATGCCCGAGATATAAAGCCCCCTGGTCTGGCAGCGAGAGAAAAACCACAATCACTGAAAAGATAGGGATCTAAGCGATTAGCATGGCGAGCCCTGCTCATGAATAATACACAGGAGCAAAGAGAGGCCAGGCTGCAGGCTCCTTGGAGAAGAGCAGAGGAAGGAGGGGAGGGTCTGGGGGCTGGGAGCCAACACGGCCAGAGCCTAGGGCAGCTGCTGCAGACTTTTTCCATACGGGGCCGGGTGGTTAATGGTTCAGGTTTTGCAGGCGATGGTCTCGGTTGGAACTACTCAACTCTGCCCTCGCAGCGAGAGAGCAGCCGATGGCAAAACATAAGCGGATGGGTCTGGCTGTGTGCCAATAAAACTTTATTTACAAGAACAGGCAGTGGCTGGATCTGGCCTGTTGGCTGGGGGTTGCTGACCCTCGTCTAGAGAGCGGACCAAGAGGAGTGGGCTTCATGCTGGGGGACAACCTCCATCACTTCATTTCTGAGGTCAAAGGATGAACTGCATTCCAGAAACGTCTAATCCAAAGGGACTGCCCATGGAAGTAAGTGGGCATGGTGGTGCTGCCCAGGAGGGTAGAGACCGTGGACACCCTCGTGGCTGTGTGCCCGTCCAGAAAGCTCTACCAGGTAGCCCATTCATTCTGCAGCGACAAGGATGAGAACGGAGATGGAAATGCCCCGGACAGTCAGGACACAGAATAAAATGAATAAACACAGGCCTCACTTCCCTTCCACAAGTCCATTCTGTGGTCTGCAGCCGAGTCTGTCCGTCCGGACTGCTCTGTGCAGTGGCCGGCATCACCGTCGGTGGATGAGGGCAGAGAGGCTTGATCGCTCGGCCGGTCCCCCCACCCCCAGCTCCCTTCCGCTTGCCAAGCACCACGCTAAGGATGTCCATTGGCAGTCCTCACAACCCAGTGTGGAAGGAAACCTTCTCACCCCCAGTGGGTGGGGAGGGAGCGGTGACTCGGGGACCTGCCAGAGCTGGCATCCGAAGGCCCCTGCAGACCCTGCATGCACGTTGGTCAGCCAGCCTCACCATGGGCAGACCCTGTCTAGGGGCTGGGGCTCCGGAGAAAAGAGGAGCCCAGACCCGCAGTCCAGGGGAAGAATGACATAAACCACCTCAGGGCGTGGAAAACATTGAGGAGTTCAGCGCGGCAGGAGCTGGAGGTCACAGGGTCAGTGTCAGGCAAGCTGGGACGGCCTTTCTCAGCAGGGTGCATTGAGGAAGTGATCCACTTTCTAAGGAAGTGTGATGGATCGAACCAGAACAATCCGATGAAAGCCATTTGGACCCAGGGAAGAGTAGGTGCAAAGGCCCTGAGGTGAACTCAAGTCGTGTGTTTGAGGACCACCAGGAAGGCCATAGTGGCCGTGATGAGGGGAGGGGCCAGGGGCCAGATCACGCAGGGTTTTCGTGCCCCTGATGTGGGTCCCCTGATCTGACGAGATGTTGTGGGACCCTGTGCTGGTGGATCAAACCACAGCGAGCCTTCAGACCACGGTGCTTGCTGCCTGAGGCCCTGCGGGTGGGAAAGCCGAGGCCAGCCCCAGAACGTGTCCATCCTGCCCGAGTGCGTCACTGTCCCGTCTCTCCGAGGGATGGTACCGTGTGTGGCCTCCGTCTGGGCCACCATGGCCTTGCCCTGTCTGACTCACCAGCCAGCACCGGGCTGGCTGAGGACAGAGGCTGATGGCCATCAACTGGCCGAGGCATTGCCCTCTCTGGCCGTCCAGCGCCTCGTCCGTGGGCGGTGCCCGGTGGCCTCACTGCTGGGTATGAGGATCTCTGCACCGCGGCCCACCCCCAGTGTCTCTGCCAGACCTCCCGGTCCCCGATTCTCCCGTCTCTCTCCTTTCAGTCCCACCACCACCCAGAGGGTCAGGCCATTCCTGCCCACCTGTGAGTCCACGCGTGACCCAAAGTCAGTGCCCTTCCCACCCCAGAGTGGAGGAACGGGCGCTCCACGTGGTGGGCCTGCACTCCCGGGACCTCGTGCTCACCTACAGGTCTCGCTGGTGTGCTAAGGCCGCGAGGCCGTTTCCTTGGGTTGTTCCTACAGCTGGTAACCGCGAGACGTGAGGGATGTCGCCCCTGGGCCAAGATGAGGCTTGCTCACTGGTGGCTGGAAAAGCGGTGGATCCAGAGCTCCCTGATCCCTCCTGGTACCTACCGCATGAACCCACAGCGTGGGCAGTGAGCATCCACTGAGCCCCTCACGTCGCTCCCGTGGAACTCGGGTCGGGTCGCTGACGCAAACGTGCCAGCGCCACGAGGAATAAACCGTCCTTTGTCTCTGACTCAGGAGCCGCAGTCTCCTGCCGGCACCCGCGAAGGAGTAACAGGCTGACTTACCGGCCTGCAAGTGGGATCAAACCAAAGCCCAGGCTGACACCCTGCTTGAAACTCTGCCTGTTACGGGCATCAGCCTTCACCAGTCTTTCAGGGCCACCCGAGGGTGACATCCTGCAGCTCCCTGCAGTTTCCAGCCCCACACTGAGCCGGCCATCCCTCACCAGCTGATCAGAGGAGCCCCTGTGGGGCCACAGGCACTGGGACAACGGTGGAGGTGGCCTGGGGGTCTGGGCCACCTGTGCTCCAGCTAGCTGTGCCCTCGGCCCCACGCCCCTCGCACCCGGTTCCACTCACTCAAGATTGTTTCTGGGCCCATCCACTATACGGTAGGACCCAGGCATGGATGAGGGGGCTCAGGGCAAGAACTGACGGGTAGACCCCTCACAACACGGTGTGTCCCAGCAAAACACAGCACACAGGATGAAATACAGAAAATGCACCAGTTGTTAAACTACTGTGGAGATGCTTTTCTTTTTTTAGAATTCTCTGTATTGTCTTTACAATAAAAATGGTGGGCTTGGATGGGATGGGAGATCCTATAGCAAAATTCCACTCTCCCCCACTGAATTGCAACCCCTGGTCCTGCCAGGGGTCCCTCGTACATGCAGGTCCTTCACCACTCTCCAGGGCCCTGGGCTTCGGATGTGCCTGTGACACCCTGGGAAAGCAACCTCTGACCCCTGTGAAAGAAAAAATCATTCTGACACTTGTTAAAAGGGTAAGGAAGACTTTATTCAAGAATATTGCAATTAGAGGAGAGAGATTGTGCTCAACTCCAAGTTCAACAAGGAAAAGGGGGATTTACAGCCAAGGAGCGGTGAGGGGCCAGTGGATGGAAAGTTACTAAGAGACTTCAAGGGCAGGGGATCTTGCAAACTACAGGCCAAGAAGATTAGCTACCACGTGTGAGGGAGGGATGAGGCGCTTAAGCAGATAATGAGGGCGATCAGAGATCAAGGGTGGGGGTCACCTAGCAGGATCTTTGCTGAGATTGGGCTGGGCAGGCCAAAGACTGGACCAGGGCCTAATGGGAAAGAGGTCCCAGAGGAGGCTGAGCTTGGTCTCGTCAATTCTAACGGGTCTGAGATCCCCGGTACCTGTCTTAATGTACTTTGCAGCCCAAGTAACCTTTGATTTCTAAAATGTGTAAGTACTTGCGAGGTCTGTTAGGGCTGGCCCGTACCTTTGGCACCTGCCGCCTTTCCTTAAATGCTGAGAGGGAGAGGATCAACGCAGCCCTGGGACTGTCCTGGAGTTCTCCTCTCAACACTTTAAATCTTTCTAATTCAGGGCAGTTAGGAGACCATCACTTCTAATGCACGGGACTCGGGGCGGGGACTGGGGCCGGGGGTGGGGGTCGGGGGGGGGGGGGGGGGGGGGGGGGGGGGGTAGAGGTGTCCCCCACAATGCGCATGCGCAGAACCGGGCGCTCGGCGCCAGGGGCAGAGCGGAGCCGGCGAGACGGAGCCAATGTGCGGCGGAACCAATGCGCGGAGCAGAAGCCCTGGCGGCCCCACTGCGCTCGCGCCGGCCCGCCCCCTCGCTGCCGGCCAATGGGCTCTCAGCACCCGCCCCTGACGACGCGGGGCCCGCCCCTTGGAGAAGCGCCGCGGCCTGGCGGACGGCCTCAGTGGTAGCTGGCGGTTTGAGAGCTGGGCCGGTTTGAGGCCTTCGGGCTGCCCGCCGTCATGAAGCTGACGCGGAAGATGGTCCTGTCCCGGGCCAAGGCCTCGGAGCTGCACAGCGTGCGGAAGCTCAACTGCTGGTGAGGCCCAGAGGCCGGGGGCCGTCCCCGCGTGTCCTGCCCGCTGCCCGGCACCCCCTTCCCGGGACCCCCTCTCTGGGACAGGGCTGGGAAGAGCCGTCTAGGGATGGAGACCCCTGCCCGGCACCTCGGCCCTGGAGCGGGGACCCCAGCCCGCCCCCTCTGCTCTGGGGCGGGACCGAGAAGGGCCTGCGGAGGATGCAGAGGGGCTCAGGATGGAGGCGGGGGGGCACCTCTGGCCTCACCTTCCTGGCCCCTGTCCAGGCTGGTGTGCCCGGTGCCAGGGGCTCACAGCCTCTGGGAGGTGATGCCATAAGCTCAGGGGGCCTTTGGGGAAAGGTCGTTTCAGAATTTTCACCCCTGAGCAGTGGTATTTCACACACAGCTCCAAAGCAGCCCTCCTTGCTGGAAACGGTTGGAATTACCTTGAAGACTGTTCTTGGACTTCTAGGTAGTTTTAGTGGGCAGACGTTTCCCTCTGTGGACAGGTCTCATCTCTGACATTGCCAGCAGTCCCTGGGAGCCAGGCCTGCTGATAAGGTGGGAGATCAAGGTGATTGACACCCTTGCTTGGGGAAAGAAAGGAAACTGAGACTCTAAAGTGATGCTTCAGTAAACATTTTTGTAATTGAGCTCTGGGGGGGGGGGGGGTACGGAGAGGGGTTGTCCCCGGGCGACTTACTGTCCGGGAGGTGACAGGAAGAGATACAGGTGCAGGCTCAAAGGCAGGGCGGCCAGGCCTAGCTGAGCTGAGGAAGGACCAGAAGTACTTCTGAAACTCCGGAAAGGTCCGCACACGTTCACTGGGGGTTCAGAGCACGGCTCCACGCGCCCTGTACACTGGACAGTTCAGGTGGTGCTCAGCCAGAAGTAGAGCGTCCTCCCACTGGTGTCGGGCAGATTGGCTGCAGTGAGCTCTGCCTGTTCATTAAAAGCCTCTCTCTTTGCGCTGCACATCTGGTATCTTGGCCACGGCATCCCTGTCGTTGTTTTCAATAATGCGTGCCTTTGTTCTGCATGGGGCGGTCATTCTTCCCCTAAGCAGGGAGGCACAACAGCCCTATTCCAGGCTTTCTGAAGTGTGTTTCATAAGTCTCATGTTTAGCCTTTGAACTTGGCCCTTACAAAGACTCCCTTGTTTATGCACATTAGTGAGGGAATTATCCCTCAGTGCAGCAGCCTTGAGAATGAGTAAATCTTGGTGTCCTTCAAATGGGGCATCGTCTGCTGTGCCCGAGTCTGCGAAGGAGGCCGCCAGTATCAAATAGTTTCGTCCAAAATCAACCAGGAAACGATTTTTGGCACCTTTGTCAGTTATCTGGGAAAGCTTTCTTTTACTTTGTTGTTAAAATCACAGACTCTTAAAGTCTGTAGACGTTTGTCATTAATTTTTGTTTTTAATGTTTTAAATTCAACTTTAACAAAATAAAAGTGCGTATGTCTTTTTCTGTCTCCAGGGGCAGCCGTCTCACTGATGTAAGTATCATGCTGATCATCTCCAGACAATCCCTGGTCCCCAGGAGGCTGGTTAAATTGACAGACGGCTCCCATTCGATCCAGGCGGCCGACCAGTACTTTGTTCCTTGAGCAGTTTTTGTAAGGCAGAACCACTCATGAAGAAAAAGTTCTACAGGACCCAAGTGCACTGTGATGTTCCTGCACACATTCTCCTGCAGGTGAAAGGCAGGCCTCACGGAGGAGCGGGCAGGTCCAAGGCACAGACCTGCTCCCACCCGGGGAAGAGCCCCAGTGGCTTGGTTGGTTGGCTTTAAAAGCAGTGCGCTCAGCCGGAGGGTTCCTTGTATAGGTTCCTGGACTTCACGTCCCCGAGGAGTTTCTTCACTTCAGCTCCTCCCCTTGGTCAGATCCAGCTTCACCCTGACTCCCATGGCAGGACGAGATGGGGCCTGGGTGGGGGCAGAGCACGGAGCTGGGCCGCTGGGCTGAGCTGTATGTCCATGAATAGATTTCTGCCCCCGCCCACCCGTTTCTGGAATGAATGTCTCCAGCTCGCACAGAGTGTGGGTGCTAGTCAGTGGGTTCTTACTGACTTCTGTTTTGTACCTTGAACCGTACCTTTTCTGAGAAACAAAGTTGGAGATGCTGTCAGGGCTGCCCAGAAGAGCCAGTTCCGCCTCATTCTGTAGCTGAAGTGCTGCCTACCCAGCAGCAAAAACAAACGAAGCAAAACACCACTGTCACAGAGAACAGACCCACCGCAGGTGTGAAGCATTCTGACCAGACTGTGCGCTTGTTGATGGCAGGGACCCCATCTGGCCCCGTGCGTGGGGTCTGGCAGGCACACAGATATTTGGGGCTTCACCGTTCATCAGCCTTACAGGTCAGGGAGCCTGCGTGGTCCATCCTGAGCCCTGCTGCTCTCTTCTACTGACTCAGTGTTAAGATGGTCTGAGATCCAGTTTCAAGCCTGTCTCCCTATTGGCACAGCTCTGTTGGCCAGAAGCGGCTTCTGTCCTTTCCCTGGATGTCAGGGGCAGCAAGAAGAAAGGTTCTCTGTCCATTCAGCTCCCCTTGCTAATGTCCTTTGAGGGCCTCTAAAATTAGGAATGCTCTGTCTCGAGGGCTGGTAGCATTTGGTAGTAAAGATGCTGTTTAAAGTCGTGGGGAGGGTGCCCGTTTCTCCATCAGGTAGAGGGGACGTCTGGGCTGCAGAGGGGAGCGCGATGCAGAGCCCTGCGTGCTCCTGGGGCGAGGGAGACTCCTCTGCTTAGGCCCTTGGCGTGGGGTGGACTGCAGCTCCAACCTGGTTCTCTTGGCTGCTGGAGAGGCGTGACGTCACAGGGCCAGTGCCCAGCGACTTTTGCAAAATCACATTCTTTTCCTTCCTAGATCTCCATATGCCGGGAAATGCCCAGCCTGGAAGTGATCACCCTCAGGTAGTAAATGCCGGCCCGCTCCACTCTTAAGTCACTGGGGCTGGAAGAGGAGGAGAATGTTCAGATCCCTCCTGCAGGCCCTTAAATAACCTGAAAATTCCCAACCGAGGTGTAGGAGGGCCGCTGCTGCAGGCCAGGCCCAGGCAGCACGAGGCCCTGGCTGCTCTGCAGCTCCGCCCCCCTTTCTGGAGGGCACCCGGGCTTCCCCCTGAGCTCGCCCTGCCCATCCTGGAGGTCAGTGGGTGCCGCCCTCCTAATGGTGAGCAGCCGCCCCAGGGTGACCACGTCTGCCCCAGCGTGCCAGCCTTTCCTGCCCTCCTGGTTCCTTCACTGCCTGGAGCTCTGCCAGCTTCCCTGCATCACACAATCTGTCCTTGGCAATAGTTGACCTCTTCCAGAATCATTAGCGGTTTAACAAAGGAAACCTTGAAAGAACCAAATACTGTCTTTGGGGCTTCAGGCACCTGGGGAGTTTGCAGGGTCAGGCGGAGGGAGGAATGCCCTCCAGCCCTGAGCCCTGTCCTGTCTGCTCTGGGCCCGGGAGGGAGCTGACCCTGCCAGATGCCGGGGTGGGTGCTTTCTGCAGGTCCCCACACCTAAAACCTCAGGGAGATTTAAGCCCTGTAAGGAAGGCAGACTCCCTGTTTGGCAGCTCAGAAGGTTGCAGGACTCGCCCTGCATGTGGGGTCCTAGGCCCTTGGTCCCGTGCAGATCCCGTCACTTACCTTCCTCGTCACACAGCCGGCCATCCTGTTTGTCCCTCCCTAGCCCTCTGCTCGGCCTCCTTTGCGACTTCCGAGGTCACCTGGTGGGTGCCGTGCCGCCCACCTTGTGCTCACGCACCCCCAGTCCCGACCCGACAGGCTCAGGCCGGCACCTTCTTGCGGGACGAAGGAATGAATGAAGTAGTGGGCCCAGGACCAGCCTCCCGCCCAGGGCCCAGCTCGGCCCTGTGTACCTTGGCTTCCCTGGCTGCAAGGCCTGTGGGATGGGGGTGAAGGCAGCAGCGGCCCCAGGGTGGGGTGGGGTGGAGGCAGGAGGAGCACGCGCAGTGGGGCAGGTGGGGCACCAGCCGTCCACTGTCACTCATCTGGTACGATTATCAGTGAAGCTGGGATTTGAGCCCACGCCCCAGAAGGCCTTACCTGACAAACAAGTCTTTACACTTTCATTACCCAAAAGTAGCAGGAAACTTGCAGCGGGCTGCGGACTTAACCCCATCGCTGCCGAGTGCTGTCTGAGGAATCTGGGGCAAGTTGCCGGGCTTCCGAGCCGAAGGCCCCCTCGTCGTGCAGCAGGGGTTCTCACCGCCGCAGCCGGGGGAGGACAGTGCCCAGGGCTGTCGCCGGGCTGTCTGGCCGCTTGAACTGGTGGGACCCCCGCAGTGTGGGGACTGCTGCTTGGATGCGGGTTGGCCGTCCTGTGAGATGAGTTAGTTTGGCTTTGGTCTTGGTGCCCATGGGCAGGAAGGCTTAGTCCATTCTGGCTGCTCTAGTGGGATTTTACAGACATTGATTCCTCACAGTTCTGAGGCCACAAGCCCGAGATCAGGGTCTAGTGAGGGGCTGCCTCTTGGCTCACAGACGGCATCTTCGCCCTGTGTCCTCACCTGGCAGAAGGGCGGAGAGCTCTGCAGGGTCCCTCTTATAAGGGCACTGACCCCGCTCATGGGGGCCCCACCTCCTAACACCACTGCCCTGGGGGTCAGGATCTCAGCATCTGGATCTGGGGTCGCGTTCGGTGTGTAGCAGCGGCAGCCTTAGTGGGCGAGGAGGGGACTCCAGGCCGCCGCAGGTTGAACTTCTCGCTTCACCCCATGGCCTGCGCAGCTTCCCTGATGGTGAGGATTCCAAAGCCTGGGTTTGCTCGTGGTAAGATGGCGTCAGCCTCATCCCGGCTGCCGGGCGAGGTGGCGCCGAGCACACCAGCAACCACGTTGACAAGTGAGTGTCGGATGGGGCAGCAGCGGCCCTAAGGCAGGAGTTGGGACAGCCTGCCCAGCACAAATGCAGCGTCCAGCACAGGGTGGTCTAGACCGGTCTGGCACGTCGGGCAGGGTCCCCTGCGGCCTGGGGCTCAGGGCGTGAGGATGCTCGGCTGTCCCCCTTGAGCTCAGCCGGCTGGTCCGACTGGGTGTGCAGGGGGTGATCCCGTCCCGTCAGCTCAAGCCTGTAGGTCTCTGCCGGGCGCCTGGCGGCTGTCCTGTCTCTGGGTCACTCATCGTTTAAACCCGTGGCTGTTTCTTTGGTGAACCTGGGTTTGGAAGTTCAGTGCTCGGTTCTTGGTCACATGGGTTTTCCTGGCCGCTGCCAGCTCTGGGCTTGGTGTGTCCCGGGGAGGCCGCAGTCTCTTGTCCTATAAGGGGGCTGAGACCTCCTACCCCTAAGGTTGACTCCTCGCGGCCTCAACAGAGCCGGGGCTGCCGCTCCCACCTTCAGTTGGAGGAGCTTCCCCCGCCCCCAGGGCTTTCTCCTGGGCCCGGGCCCTCCCTTGCACTTGACTAGCCACGGCCGGGTCTGACCTACTTCTAAGGTGAGGGCAGGTGGGCACTGGCCCAGCAGTGCTCTCGTCTCCGCGGGGCGGGGGTGCCCCGGCAGGCACTGACGGCCATCTCCCTGCAGCGTCAACAGCATCTCCACCCTGGAGCCCGTGAGCCGCTGCCGGCAGCTGAGCGAGCTCTACCTGCGCAAGAACTGCATCTCCAGTCTGGCGGAGCTCTTCTACCTGAAGGGCCTCCCGTGCCTGCGTGTGCTGTGGCTGGCGGAGAACCCCTGCTGTGGCGCCTGCCCTCACCTCTACCGCATGACCGTCCTGCGCAACCTGCCTCACCTGCAGAAGCTGGACAACCAGGGTAGGTGCCCGCGGGCCGGGTCGCACGCGGGCAGGCTCCACCCCTCCCCTCTCGCAGGTGCCGGGGAGGCCGGCCTCCTCGGGGTGCCCCAGGTTGTGCCGTCTGCCGCCCGGCACGGCCCCTCGCGGAGTGTAGGATCTCAGCTGAACCCGCACCGTTGTTTCTCGGTCCCGCCGTCGAAGCACTGAGCTGCTGCTTCTCCTTTTTATCCTGCTAAGTACCCTCTGCTCCAAATGCTCACCCACCTGCCCTGGGAGCTCGTGACGGTCTGGGTGGCCGGGCAGCATCACTGCTGGTCGACAGGGTCCCAAGGTGGTGATGCCAGCAGGTGAGGGTGCACCATCGGTCCTTGACCCCTCCCACCCCGGGTTGCCTTGCTGTTGGAGGGGTGGGGTGGGGGTTTGGGGGGCGCCTTCCTGCCGTTCCAAGCCGCATCTCCTCCATCACGCACGAGGCGACGTGTGTGGGCCTTTCCTGCTCCCGCCTCTGGGGTTCCAGCTCGTGTCCAGGTCCAGGCCTTTTTCCTGTGAATCCCCTGGCGTTCTCTGTGCTGGTTCCTGACCCTTATGTGCACGATTATTTTCTCCTAGGTGAATGACTTTAATATAAATAAGCTTCAGATAAACTGTCATGTGTGAGTGAAATAGAAGAAATGTAGTGTGGTCTATTCCTTTTAAAAACCTTAGTTTAGGGTTTAGTTTAGGGTTTAGTTTTAGGGTCTTAGTTTAGGGTTTTTTATGAGTATCTATCTGCTTTTGGCAAATGCTGAAATTCAGATTCACAAGGAGTCATTGGCCATCTGTCGTTTCTCCAGCACCTCCAGGGTGGGATGCAATGGTGGGGGGCCCAGCCCTGCTCCCGGGTGCTGGCCGTCGGGGTGGACAGACAGCCGCCTCATCCCCGAAGCAGACCGTGCTGAGCGCCGAGGGGACGGCGGGGCCACGGCTCGCGGGGCTCGCTTGCGGTGAGGCCACTGATGCTTTTGCCCCCTCCCCCTCCCCCTCCCCAGCTGTGACGGAGGAGGAGGTGTCCCGAGCGCTGGTGGAGGGAGAGGAGGTCACGGCCCCCAGCAGACAGCACTCAGGGAATGGCCCGCCCGAGCTGTCCTACACCCTGAGCGCCGAGGACGCCGCCGCCGAGATGCCACGGGACCCGCTGAGCCTCGGCGAGGAGACCAGGTGTGGCCCGCGGGCCTGCCCTGTCCTCCCGCGCGCGGCTGCGCCTCTGGGGCTGGATGGGGGGTGTGGGTGTTTGTTTCTGGGCTGGCTCTCAGGGGCCCCCAGCCTGGGGTCAGCCACGTGGCCAGGAGAAGACCCAGGGCAGGGAGCTCATGCGAGTGTGGGACCAGCCCTCCGCAGGGAGTGGCGGACTCAGGGCGGTGGGCTGGTGGGCGTGCAGGGCCCCCGGGCAGGAGGGAAGCCTCGTGGCCATGGCCGTGGCCGGCCGAGCCTCTGTGTGGCCTCAGGAGCCCCGGGGACGGCGGGGCGTGTGGGCTGAGGGAGGGCCCTCCCTCCCTGACCCACAGGGCACCTCAATTGAATGATTGTCACAGACGTTTGTGGGCAGAAACTGGACTTGAGGAACGTGGTGGAGACCACTGTTCACAGCGGGGCCCAGGCTGGGCGTCCGCTTACAGATGCGGCCCACGCGCCTTGCTGTCCCGCGGCGGGACGGGGAGGGCACGTGGCCGGGGCTCGTGCAGCGTTTGTGCTAGTGCCCCACCCCCGGCCCCGGGGGGAGCGCCAGGAGCAGGGAGGTGACCCCAGGGGTCAGAGAAGTAGAGCTGCCCCGGCCCCTCCGTCCACTGCTCCTGTGCCCCCGGAAGCAGAGTCCTGCAGTGGGGCTTTTCCTGCGGACAGGGCGGGGTCCACTTTTAGGAGCCTCTTCCTCGCTGTTCCCCGAGGCGCCAGACCCACAGATGTCGTGTGAACAGTGCGGGCGGGGCTCCACGCCCCTCGGGCCTCACGCACTGCTGTCCTCCCCCCCGCCCGCCCCCACCAGCAGCATCCAGGGGCAGCTCGGCCTGAAGCGCCCTTCCCGGGACCAGTTTCCTTCCTTCTCGCAGAGGGCGGCCACAAGCAGTCGCAAGAACAGGGTGAGTGTGACGGAGGCTGCTCTGGCCGGAAGAGGCCCCGGAATGTGGAGATTGGGGGCTGGGGGTCGGGGGGCGGGGGCTGGAGACACCACAGGGATGCGCGAAGCCAGGCCCTAGAGGGTGGGAAGCTGACCATCTGGGTCCAATGTCTGTGTCTACATCTAAGCTGGTTGGGCATGGCAGACGGAGGAGGGGTGCCTGAGTGCGCAGCGGAGGCCCCCCCCGCGCCTGGGGCTGTGCCGAGGGTGGTCTGGGGGCGGGAAGGTTGCTGCCTGGGGAGAGGCCTCCCACCTGCGGTTAGAAGCAGGACCCCTCCTGGCCAGGGCAGTGGCGGTGTCCCCGTGCAGTGACCAGGCGGCAGGCCCCACGGCTCCATAGGCATCCCTGTAAGGACCACGGCTTGTTGGCTGAACGATAAGTAGGTCGTGTGGACAGTTGAGTGACATCAGCGAGGACCCGGGTCCCTCCAAGTCCTCTCGTGTCACTCCGGCTTGTGCTTGGGCTCGTCCTGCGCTCACAGGGATGCCCCGCTCCAGGCTTGTGGCCGGCAGAAGGGTGGGGCCGTTTCTTGCCGTGTGTCCTCTTACCAGTGCAACATCTTCCCCATGTGCCCCCTGCCCCCCAGCAGGCTCGATGTCAGTTCCCTGAGCCGGTCATTGGCAGGGGAATGGGTCACCAGTCAGCTCAGCCCAGAGGGGACCTCGCCACCGGCTTACGTGGGAAGGGGAGCTGTCTGAACCAGGGTCTGTGGGGAGGCCCGTGACCCCCCAGCACCTGCTCCAGCCCCTGGCTCGGCCTGACCAGAGCTGTCAGGTGCTGTGACCTCCCTGTGGCATCATGAAGGGGGGCACCACAGTCTGAGCGGGGCTGCCCGAAGCCACGGGCTGGGCCTCTCTCATTCATGCGGTGACCACTTGAAATGCGTGCAAAGCTCACGGGAGGTACAGAAGTGGATGGACTGAGGCCCCATCCTGGGAAGTGCCAGCCCCCAAGGCTGTGGACAGATGTGACCGCGGGCTGAAGGCCGATCTAGGCAGCAGTCGCTTGGCCTGTGGCTAGTCTCTCCCGCCCTGCCCCACCCCGGCAGGTCACTGTCCCCTCGTGGCAACACTCTCCTCAATGAGGTGGCCGCGTGGGGCGGCTCAGGGTCCCTGCACACACTCCCCACGTTTTGGGAGGAGCCCGAGGCATGTACCGTCCCCAGTGGCAGGTCTGCCCAGCAGCGGGGCTAAGGCCTGAAGCTCCCCGCACCCTCACTCCCACTCCAGGGCCTGTGCAGTGCAGGGCGGGCCAGAGATTGAAGACACTGGTTCAACTCCGCACCTGCCATAAATGCAAACGAAAGACCATCAGACCTGCTCGAACAGGACACCTGCTCTGAAAGCAGAGGGCAGAAGGGCCCTGGCTCTGCCACCAAGGGTCCCGGCCAGGCTGGGTGTCCCTGTGGGCATCAAGCCCCCCGCAAGCCTCTGAGTGCAAGGTGCCGGTGGCCAGGAAGACCTGGGGACACGGGGGAGGGCTGGTGAGATTTGAGGGCAGCAGGAGTCTTGGGGCATTGCAGAGCCAGGGATCGGCACCCCAGGTGTGAGCCCCTGAGCCACGTCCTCATGTGTCCACATGGGCTGCACTCTCTGGCTTGCGGCTGTGCCTCAGCTCATCCAACAAGAGGGATCGGCTCAAGTAGCCGCCTGTGCAAAATCCTTCCAGAATTTTCCTAGTAGAAATGGCATTGTTTCCCTGCTCAAATGCAGATGGAAACCAGGTGTAGCTATGTGGACACGGGTGCATCACACACTAAGCACGTGTGCATTTGAGTGCGTGTTGCCGAGAGCCTGCTGCAGGCCTCTGCTCCATTGCCGCCCAGCCTCTCTGGGCCTCAGGGCTGTGAACAGGAGGTAAGTCAGTTCGTAGGAAGTCCCTGCCGGCGGTGAGTGCCACACCTGTGCCACGACTGTGGCTTCCGTCTGCCAGAGTCTCCACCTGTTCCCTGCAAGGCCGCCCTCCTGAAGGCTATGCTCCCGCAATGTGCGCATGTGTCGTGGTGTGGGCGGCCCAGCCTCGCAGGCGTGATGCTCACCCAGTGACTCTCTGTGCCCCCAGAACAACGTCCTGACCGCCGTCCTCCTGCTGCTGCGGGAACTAGACAGCGAGGGGCTGGAGGCCGTCCACCAGCGCGTGGTCAGCCGGCTCCAGGCCCTGCAGAAGCAGGAGCTGCAGGAGGCCATGGAGTGACTGTCAGCGGGGACCCCGAGCTGAAGTCCAGCGTCTTCCCGAACACCTGGGAGGGTGGGGGTCACAGCTGCGGCCTCTGCTTGACCCCAGGCTGAGCCTCGGCGCACAGGGCTGCGTCCTTAGGAAGCCTCGCCCACCCAGGAAAGCCGAGCTTTCGCTGTGGATGGGCACCACGCCAGGGCAGGAGGGGCTGGCTGGGCAGGCCTTCCCCTGTGCCCTCCGCTGTGAGGGGCCGTAGCCAGATGCCCTCCTGTATGGCAGGGCCACCTCGACTTGCCTCTTCCTGAAGGTGGGCTTTGCAGCCGTCCTCCCTAATAAATATTTTTCCAAAGTCTGACCTGGAAGCAGACGTTTCCTGAATGACAGGCACGGCCTTGACATTCTTGTTAAAGGTAAGGGCAGTCGCTCGCGCATGTTTTCTCAGCCAGTTGTCTGACGCTGTCATGGGATGGATTTCTGTTGACCACAGGAGACTTCCAGAACGGTGGCAGCCTTAGGGGTGGGCTGCCTGTCGCCTCCAGGGACGTTCTGTCTGCAGTGCACTGTGTCCCTTCTTGAGAGCCCCGCACGACACAGGGTCTGTGCTGCCCGAGTGAGAAGACCTGGACAACAGGCCTGCCGCTTCTGTCCGGGTACCGGAAGCAGCCGCGTGGGAAGGGACAGCCTTCTGGAAAAGGCGTCTTATGTTCTCTTTCTTTGGGAAGAGTCGCAGGCCTTGCTGCGGTGACCGGGATGCGGGCGGTGACTCCACAGCCCTGGGGTCCTTCCTGGTGCCCCCAGTGCAAGGGGAGGAGGGTGCCCGCCGAGCTGTTAGGGGAGGTCCCTTCTTGCTGGGCTTGAAATGACAGGGACTGGTGTCCTGTTGGGGCAGGAACATCCACGTCCCTGTGGGAGCCGAGGGTGTGTCAGGTTACATGAGGGCTGCACAGACCCAAGGGGGACTGACCACAGCGTGTGCAAGACACCAGCCCGAAAGATCACCGGCTCCGGGAAGATGAAGCTGCACTCGTGGTGCAACCGTCTCACGCTGGCCTCGTGGGGGGCCCCGGGAAAGGCAGTGGTTCACCTTGGGGCCCCCCGTACTTCTCAGGGCAGGGGGTGAGGTCTGGCCGCGGGAAGCGAGGACTCGCCACGCGGGGCCATCTAGGACAGGTGGCCGTGGCCTGTGCATGTGCCTTCTCTCGTGTTATGGGACGTTGCATGTCTTCAATAAAGCCCCGTCCTGGTCAGAACAAGCTGTGCGTGCTTCTGTTGCATTAACACCCTCCCTCTCCCCACCCACGAGGCACGGCTCACACCCACTTCCCCTGCCCCACGATCTGGTTCGCCTAAGTCAGGGACCCTCGACTCAGACTCCGGTCAGGGTGAGCTGCCCGCCTCAGCCCCTTGACTCTTCAGCTCCCCCCGCATCCCACCTTCGCCACCCCCTAGTCAGAGCCTCCTGTCAGCCCACCGGCTCCCACTCCCGGCCACCTGCTCCCTCGGTGCCCGTCTGAAGCCCTCAAGCTGGACCGAGGACGAAGCGCATCCACCCCTGGCCTGGATCCCAGGCCACCAGTCTTTATGGGCACGTCATAGTCCCAGCTCTGAACTTCGCCCCGGGTAACCGTGAAGGTGGGGTTTCGGAGCAAAGCAGGTGCTGGCATTACGGCCTGTGTGTTTGTCCTGTTGGCCCCCGTTTAAGGAGGAAAGGGCTGAGACCCAAGAGGACACATCGCTCGTCTGAAACGCTGGTCAGTGCAGCCAGAGGTGGGTCAGACGCACTGTGTGCTCCCCACGGAGCTGCTGCCCAGGAACGAGGGCGGTCACTCTGCATCTCGGACCCCAACACTGGGTCACCTGCGCCAGCAGCCCCTGTGCTGCACGCAGCGTCCGGGACAGGCCGAGATCTGGGTCCTGACCTGACGTGGGGCGCTGGGCCAGGCTGCAGCGCAGCCAGAGCCTCCTACGTGGAGGCGACATCCCGTCTCCCGGCCACCGGGTGGGTGGGGACCCCGAGCGCCCCCCAGTTTGCTGAGCTGCAGACCCTCCTCCCTCAGCCCGCTCCCCCCACCCCGCAGTGGGTCAGGAGGTGAGCCCCGAGTTCTGGGGAGGACACAGCGGGGGCGCCCTCTGATCGTGCTGACTGGGGGCAAGTTTCAGGAGCGGGAGTGGAAAGGAGCCTTGCAGGGGCCACTTACCCGCCCTGTCCCTGAGCCCAGGGCTGCCCTGTTTGCAGGAGGACACTGGGGCTTCCCTCTGTTGGTCATATCCTCTGGGAAGCGTTCGTGGGGCCTCTGGGATGCTTGTGGGATCCCTTGTGGGATGCTCACGGGGCCCCCGTCAAACCAGTTGGGAAATTAGACAAGAAACAAGGGGTCCTAGCTGCCAGCATCCCAAGGACAGTGGTTCTCCAGGGCACTGTGAATGGACATGGGCTCCGGTGTCTTCCCGGGGAGCCTGCGGTCCTGAGAGGCCCTGCCAGGGTGTGGGAGCACCTGGGGACGCCGAGCGGGATGCCACCGTGGCAAGCACCGGATCTTCTCGGGCCGAGGAAGAGCGCTAGCCTGGCTAGGAGTGGATGCGAACGGTGGCCTGGCTGAGTGAGGCCAGCAGCGCCGCCAGTATGAGCTGTGCCTGCCCTGTGCTCCTGCGGCCGCTCAGCCAGCCAGGACGGCGTGGGCAGGCAGGAGCCCGAGCTTGGTCTGTGTCCTGCTGTCGCCGACCTGAGTGTCTTCATCCCTGTTCAATGCGGGGCCTGGTCCCTGGGAAGTCGGCGTCTTTCTCCTCTTGCAGGGCTGTCACTTTTTGCTATTTCTACGTAAAGGGCAAAGCTGCCCGTCACAGCCTCACATGAGGGAGGTGGGTGGCCACAGCTCGCCTGAGGAGCCCGACACATGCCCTGCCCCCTCTGCAGGGACTGGTGGGCAGGACAGGGTTGGAAGAGACAAACCTATGAACCTTAGCCAGACCAGGGGTGTAGCATCTGCATAAACCCTTCCTCAGGACCATGACAAGTAGGCAAGCCAGTACGGCGTCACTGTACCGTCCCCACGTGCCCAATGGGCGGGACTGCTCACAGGTGAGCACCCTGACAGGTGAGCAGCCCTGACAGGTGAGGGGCCCGACTCAACCATCAGACTGAGACAAACACACTGCATGTTGCCTTGATGTCCCCTGGCCGGGCTGTCCAGGGTCTGGGACAGTGTCCGAGGGCCTCCCCCACCCCCCTGCATTTAGGCCCTCAGGGGAGGCCCCTCCCACAGTCCTGTCGTGAGTGCACCTGCGCAGGAGCCTCTGGGGTGGTCTTCGATGCTCTCCAGCACCTGCCGAGCCCTGCCACCGGCAGAATTACGGAGAAGGGCTCTAGTTGAACCTGCTGCACAAGCGTCTACTTTGGTGGACGCTCTCAAAGTGCCGTCACCTCCGCAAGACTGACTCATGGGCTGTGTTCCCCGGAAAGCTCGCAGGAATTGCAGTGTTTGCCAGGGCCTAAAATTATAGTCTCCGCCTAGTGAGACAGAATGCAAGAACGCTGAGACAGAAAAACTATGCGTTTGTGGTCACCTGCGTCCCAGAGCCTGCCTGGCATCCTCCCCGGTGGGCACCAGGCTCAGGGATGGGGCCATGGCTTCGGGGGAGCTGCCCTCCAGGGCCGTCCTGGGCCTCGGGGGTGCTGCTAGGGTTGAGAGGGGCTCAGGTTCCAAGCCCTCCCCACCCTGCTCAGTCGGGTGGCCCTAGACCAGTGGGGCTGAGGGGGGGTTGCAGGAATCGTGGGGATCCGGCTGCTTCCCAAGGCAGGTGGGTCATCACCCCTGCTCTCCAGACCACGTGGACGCCTGCCCAGCACCCCAGTGCGCAGCAGACCCCACCCGGCCCCTCCCAGAGCCCTGTCCTGGCCTCAGGGAGCCCGAGAGTGATGCCCGGTCCCTGGCTCACCCCGTTCCTGGGCCTGCAGCACCTTCCTTCCCCAGCCATGTCCCCTGAAACGCGCCCTTGGCCTCACACCCCACCCCCATCCTGTTCTGAGAAACTGCTGCGCGCATGCTTTCCTGCAGTTGAGGCACACTCTTCTTGTCTGTGGCGGGAGGCAGGATTCTGAGGTGGCCCCAGGTCCCAGACCCCTGGCGTGTACACCCTACCAGATCCTCACCCCCAAATGGGGGGCCAGTCCGTGAACGTGATGGATATATGGCCGTATATGGCCAAGGTGAAGGGGCTGCACAGCTGTAGTTAAGGCTGTAGTTAAGAGTCAGGTGACTCTGAGTTAACAGAAGGGAGCGTCCTGGTGGGCCTGCCCTAATCCGGTGACCTCAGCGCCCCACCTCACCCCCTCCAGGCATCCCTGGATCAGGGATAAGGAGGTCGTGGGCCTTCCCTCCCTGAGCTCAGAGACTAGGGGCAGCGGACACCCTCCTGCTGCCGCTGGGATTCTACCAACAGGCAACTCAGAAGGGCTGAGGTCCAGCTGAGACCAAACCCGGCCGAACGGGGAGCCCCCTCTTGCTTGGGGATCCCAGGCGCTGGCTGAGAGGCGGAAGGGGGGCGACAGGGAGGGAGGAGCAGGGCAGGGACTGGGCCCAGACACCTCGGCCCTTCTGCAGCTGCCGCAGCCTCTGCCTGGGCCTCCCAGCTGCTGGACAGGCGGCCGGTGGCGCCGCGGACGTCCTTCCAGCCTGGCAGGCAGCCTCCTGTGTGCCCCGCGCGGGACGCCCTGGGGAGGGCTGAGTGCCCGGAAGGCAGGTAGCAGGCCTGGAGGGCGCGTCGGAGGCCAGCACGGGGCCAGGTCCCGCCAAGTGCTCGTTAGACCAGCATCCGCAAACAATGCACATTTAAGCCAAACCAACCCGAAAACCCTGGAAAAGTAGCCTTCCAGCGCTCCTCCCACCTTCCCCAGGCTGGGCATTGGGCACCCTGGAAGGGCCTGGCCCCAGCACCACAGGGGTCAAGCGGAGCCAGGCGAGGGCAAGGCTGGCACTGGGCAGTGCCTGGGTCAGCGTGGCATCCCAGCTGGGGCTGGCGTGTGGTGAGGACAGAGGGGACACGGCTGCCACCAGCCAGGGTCACCCCCAAGGGAGACACCACCCCTGAGCTCCAGCCTCCCGCTCACGTGTATAGGCGCGTGTGCACACATACATGTAGGCACATAGGTGTGCACATGCGCACACACACACAGACATGCTCACATATGCCCACACACACAAGCACACATACACACTCGGGTTTCTGGGCCCTGGAAACTTGCCCCTGGTCTTTTGAGACAGAGGCTCAGACTGCTGGGGGACTGTCCCCCCCTTGGCCTGCCCCAGGGCTGGCAAAGCAGACCGGAGGGGCCCCAGCTCCAGAAATGGGCACCCAGGAGCCCCCAGGCTCTCGGCAACACAGTGAGGCTGGCGTGGGCCCGCAGCACAGGTCAGCCCAGCCAGGCCTGCGGTGCCCAGGAGTCACCAAGGCTCCCTGCCGGGGTCTGTGGGCACACGAAGGCAGCCTGAGACGCTGGGCCCCAGCCTGGGCCCGACGGGGAGAGCCCCGCCCACCCGGGGACCCCCAACTTGGCCTGTGGGCCTCCCCACAAAACCTCCTGGGTCCCAGAACCTTGTCCTGACCTCTAAGCGTGCCAAGGGCAGGAGTGCAGGCACAGCAGCCCTGGATGAAGGGCCCAGGTGACTGCAGTGGGAACACACGTGGATGGGCAACCTGTGCAGGGGTGACGGGGACCTGCAAAGCACCACGAGGTCGACATCCAGCTCGTCCTCCCGAGGACCCTGGTGCCAGCACCACTGCGGAGCGAGGGACGCCTGCCCTCAGCCACCTGCCCCGGGATCCTTGGCTGTGCTTCTGAGACCCCAGGCTGAGTCGGGGGGAACGTTCCGGGTCAGACTTGGGGCCCAAGAACCAGGCTCAGAAGTCCTCCCAAGAGGGGGGGAAGCCAGGCCTGTCACCCCTTAGGATGCGGTTGGGGGGCCCAGGTCACCCCACAGGATGGAGGGGCTCAGCTCATCACATGGACAGGGGCTGCTGGTCCTGGGATGAGGGTGCGGCCCCAGAGGGCCCGTGTCCCTGAGACCGGGCTCAGCCCAGAGCCCAGAGGAGGCCCCCAGGCCCATGTGTGCAGGTGGGGGGCTACCAACCACCAGCCCGCCCACCCTCCTTAGAAGGTTCCAGAGACCCTGCTTTCCCGAGACTGACAGCACCCCGCAGTCGGGGTGATTTTATTTCTAAAAAAGGTGACAAGCGCTACTCAGCCCGGCGGCCAGTGCACACAGGGAGAGGGGCACAGTGAGGCGCGCCGGGTCACGTCCCCACCCGCTGGCACGGAGACCCAGGCTGCTGCGCCCCCAGGGCTGGTGAGGGTGCAGGACCGGCTCGGGCAGAGGCTCCGGGCCACATGGGTACCGAGGCAGAGGGGCGGCGGTGTCCAAGCGCGGACGCCCCCACATACCCTTGCGCTGGAAAGTGGGTGCCCAGGGTGCTCTGTCCTGGGGAAGAGCCGAGCGGACAGCAGGCTGAAACTGGGGCCGTGAGAGTCCTGGAGCCAGGGTGCACCCCCCGCCCGCCTGCCCGCAGGCTCCAGGCGGCAGCAGCCCAGGCTCCAAAGTGGGGGCGGGGTGGGTGCGGCGGGAGGCGGGCGCAGGCGGGGGCGGGGCAGGGACGCGGCTTCAGAAGCCTGTTTCGATGCTGAGGGTGCGGCGGGTGACGTGCTCCAGCTCCCCGGACACGTAGTCGGCCATGCTGATGCGGTAGTGCGCCAGCATCTTCAGCATGAGTCGCAGGTTCAGCCACCACTGCTCCAGGGGCATGCGGTGCCTGCGGCGGGGCCGGACAGGGTCAGGGGCGGGGGCGGGGCCTGCGGCGGGGCGGGGCCAGGGGGCGGGGCAGGCGGTGGGGCCGGGACACGGTCGGGGCGGGGGCGGGGTCACGGCCAGGGGGCGGGGCAGGCGGTGCCAGCGGCGGGACGGGGCAGCTCCCGGGCCGTCGCCCCAAGCTGGGCCCCGCACGCCCCCTCGGGACACCTGGACCTCGGGACCCGGGACATGTGGAGGCTAGCTCCGGCCCCTGCGCTTCAGAGGTGCCGGGGCCCGCCCCCAGGAGGGGTCGGCAGACCGCGAGAGCCCGCAGACCCGACCATGGCTGACCCCACCCTCAACTCTGCCCCGTCGGGAGGAACAGGGACCCGGGGTCAGCCCTGGGCGTGGGGACCGGGCGGCCCTGTGGGATCAGGGGTCCAGGCCGGTCTGGGCCCGGCGGTCCACCCCTCTCTTCGGAGGGACTCACTCAAAGTCGGTGTCCTTCTTGAGCTCGGTGACGGGGCTGAAGGCCACCGCCTTCTTCTGCAGGCCGATCACGCAAGCCGAGTCGGGGGCGTTGGCGAAGACCCGCCCTGTGGACACAGGCACGTGCCGGCAGCCCCACACCCAGGGCCCTCGGCGGGGACAGGTCTTACTAGCCACCACCTCCCTCACGCACCCTTGCGGTAGACTGCCCGCAGCTTCTCCGACATCCAGAGTATAGCCTTCACCCCCAGCTTGGTGCCGTAGTTCCGGTCGAAGGGGGTGGGAGCCCCGCCCTGGAAACACAGTGGGTGAGGCCAGGTGCTGGCCCTCAGGGAGGAGCTGGGCCTCAGGCAGCCGAGCCCTGGCCCGAGCCCAGCAACCAGGCCCTGCCGTGACCTCAGGTGAGCCCTCCCGGGCTGACACCCCGTCCCCTCGACCTGCAGCACTCCGGCCCCTTTCTCCATCCCACCTCTAAAACCCCCTAAAAGCCACCTCCAGAGTTCGGGCAGTGGGCTGCCTACTCATTGACTAGGGGGCCTCCGTGGGCCCCTGCATCCGGCAGGCAGCTCCCACCACCAGTGAGCAAAGACCCCGGGGAGAGGGGAGCCCTAGGGGTGCACACGGCCCTCAGTCTGCTTGGAAGCCCGCTCAGTCTGCTTGGAACCCACAGCGCGGGCTTCCTGCAGGGCCTCCAGGGGGCCAGAAGGGGAGGGGCTTGTCAGGGTGGAGGTGGCTCCCGGCCCCGCCCCTTCCTCAGGGGTGTGAGGACGAAGGGGCACCTACAGCCAGGTGCCCCATGAGGAGGGGCACAGAGAGGGGTCCTCATCCTGCCACGGCCTCCTGGGACCTGTCGGCCCGGGCACAGTTGGGGGCCAGGGGCCAGGGAGCAGCCTTCCACGGAATCTGTGCTCCCCCACCCCGTACCTGCTGCAGGTGGCCCAGGACGTTAGTCCTGCAGTCGAAAATGCCCTTCCCCTCGGAGGAGTACAGGTTGTACAGAAACTCCGTGGTGTAGTATTCGTGGCACTTCTCGTTTCTGGGAAGAAGAAGGGGTGGGGGCGGCAGGGGAGGCCTGAGCCTCGCCTGGATGCTGAGCCCCTCCGGGCCGGGCCACAGGCTCCCAGGAAAGCCCGACCCCACCTACTCCTTCCTAAGCCCCCCAGCCTTGCTCCACCCAGCTGGACCCTGCGGGCTCGCCGGCAGCCTCACCGGAGCACCAGGCCCCTCTGGATGTCCGTCTTCATCTTCTCGGTCATGTGCTCCACGTTGGCCTGTGGGGTGAAGACCTGGGTTGAGCGGAGCGGGGGCAGCAGCCTGCACTGCACACCCCTTCCCGCAGCCTGAGGCTGTCTGGGAGGGCCCATTCTGGACTAGCCAGCAGGTGCGGCTGAGAAGACCCAGATCAGCCTGGGGGCCGGCGCGGGGCGGGCACGGGGACCAGGTTGCAGTTGCTGGAGGGCTGTGTGGGTGGTGCAGGTGTGGGCCTGTGGCTGGACTGTGAAGCTGTGGGGGGAGGGCCGGGGGCGGCCACGGAGGCCACAGGGCGGCAGGGGCACTGCCCGGGATCGGGGAAGGGGTGCAGAGGGTCACGGGCTGTGTCCCCTCGAAGGCAGCGAGCCCCCAGCCTGCTGGGCCGTGGCTGCTTGGCAGGGGCCCCGTCTCCTCTGCAGGCCTGCTCCGCTGTGTCTCAGGAGGGGCCCCTTCAGCCTGGCCGGGAGAAAGGTACGGGCTCGGCTCACCTTTAAGTCCTGGATGTTGAAGGGGTCCTCGAAGACATAGGCGGCGTCGGCCCCCACAGCGATGCCAGTCACGGTGGCCAGGTAGCCACAGTAGCCCCCCATGGTCTCCACGATGAACACACGGCGCTTGGTCCCCGAGGCCGACTGCTTGATGCGGTCACAGCTCTGAGGGCCAGGGTGCGGGTCAGAGCCCTCCCCTCGGACCACGGGGACCCACGACGTTGCAGGGACCCGGGTCTCTCTCTCAATGCGGCTGGGACAGCCCTTGCCCCACGTGCCCAGGGCACTGGCAGCCCTCAGCACACGCCCTCCACGCAGCCACACGGAACTGGGTCCTCAGCCCGGGCGTTGGTGCCCCCAGGACAAGGTGGGCGTCACTAGCGTCTAGTGGGTAGGGGCCAGGGACGCTCTAGGAGGCTCCCCCTGACCTTGGACCAGGGACACACTGGGCCTTAATCTGCTCATCTGCCAACAGGGGAAGACACTCTGCCACGGCAGGGTCTTCGTAAACAGGGGCCCTGATGACACGTGAAGTAAGTGCTCCGCAGACGCTAATGATAACACGACAAGTGATGACGATCCTAACTGAACAGTTCAACGAAATTCAAGCATTAAATAAAGAACTGAGGAAACAGAAATAAAACAGATATGTAGGTTACTCGTGTCTGAACTATGAGGATAGACCCCAGATAACAGATGAAGAGCAAAGTGGAGGAAACGGCTGCAATGTTTGGCAAGGGTCTATAGCCTACATATGTAAAGAACGTTTACAAATAAAAAAGAAGACGTGCCCAGAGAAAAATAGGCAAATGATGGAAAAAGATAATTTCAAAAAAAACCCCTGACAAATGGGCAATAAACATATAGGAAAATATTCACCCAGAAATCAGAGCTGCAAATGAAAACCGAACCCTGTCCTCCCTCATCTGATGAGGGGCAGAGGCACCAGAAGATTCAGAGGGGCTGTGGGCGACCCACAGCCAGTTCAGATAGGAGATAAATTCAAAGAAAACCCCTGAGGATCATGGGACTCTGGGTCAGGAGATGGGGGTGGGGTGGGATCTCCTTTAGCCTCTTGTTTCACTTGTATTTTCTCCTCCATCTAAAAACACGCAGCACTTGATTGAGCAACACGCCCCCTTCCAGCTTCAGATCCCCCCAAAACGGAGATAATGAACCCCTGGGGAAGCTGGGCTCATGTGGGGTCACAGTCGAAGGTGGGAAAGGTCTAGAGAGTGGGGACAGCGGTGGGGATGCCCCCAGAGAGCCCCTGGTGGCGCCAGCCTGCTGGGACCCCTCCAGGAACCGGGCTCCCACCTCCCACCCTCCCACGTCCCAGCTGGAGCCCTGGGTTTCCCCCAGAGCCACGTGTGGCTGCTTCACCGGACAGAACCGTGGCCCGACGTCCACACCAGTACAGTAGCTCAGTTAGGTCGGTGGCAGCCTTGACCACCGTCACCATCACACCCTGGTGGCCCCAGACTCACAACCTCCCTGCCATCTTTGAGACCTCGGGGGCAGCCAGGTCCTGCCCACTCCCCATGCAGGCCGCCAGCCTCGGTGGGGGCCCCGCACCCCATCCCACCCCTCGGCAGCCCCTCTGGGCGCTCTCCCCTCCCAGGCGCCCCGTCCGCCCGCTGCCGGCCTAAGTGGGGGCAGCGGCCCCAGGCCCCACCTCCATGGCGGCGTTGACGGCGGTATCCGAGCCCAGGCTGAAGTCGGTGCCCGGCACGTTGTTGCTGATGGTGGCGGGGATGACACACATGACAATGCACAGCTCCTCGTAGCGCTCACGGGCCTCCACCAGCTGCAGCACCCCCTCGTAGGCCTGCAGGAATCGGGGGCAGGGGCTCAAGGCTGGCCCCGGAGAGGCCGGGCTGCCGGACGAGGCAGGAGGAGGGGCCCCTGGGTCCTGCTCCCGGCTGTGTGCCTGGCGATGGGCCTCTGGGCCCACCTGCCACACCCCAGAACCGAGACCAGGCGGGCCCCATCCTGGAGCTCTGCAGCTGCCTTCACTGGGAAAACTGGACTCCAAGGGGGACAGGAAGGAGGCCCGCCCACCCTGCCTTGACCCCAGCCCACTCCATGCAGTCTGCGGGGGCTTGGGCTCCTTCAGGAAAGGGCAAGAGTGGGTATCTGTCATTTACGGGGGCTGACCAAGCCCCAGCATCACATTGATGTGCCCCCCACCACCCAGAACTCCGCCGAGAGACGCTCTGGACCACCGCCTCAGCAGCGGGAGGATGAGGCCACTCGACCCTCCTGCCTGGGCCGTCCCACCCCCACTGTCCCTCCCCTGCGGTCAGAGCTGCCCCTGCCCCTCCCCCTCCTTCTCCTCCCCCCTGCCCTCTCACGCCCCCCTCCCCCTCCTCCCCAGCCCCGCCACACTCACCCTGGTGGCCCCATCAGTCCAGCTGGCTCAAGGTAACCTGCACGTGGGGCTTCCGGAAGGGCCACCTCGGCGGCCCACACCCTGGGGTCTCCTCCACCCCCGCTTGCTCCCCGGCAGCTGCCCCCTCACCTCGAAGCCTCCGATGACCAGCAGGGCGTGGATGTTGTGAATGCGGACGTTTTCCACTATTTTCTCCATGTAGCCCTTGGGCAGCGTCCTGCAGTGGGAGATAAATCAGATGGACGTGCTGCATCTGTACAGAACGCCAGGCTGGAAGGACCCACGTCTGCACCGTGCCTGAGCTCGGGAGAAGGCAGGCCTGGGGCGTGGCGGTGGGATTCCCGATTAGAGGTGGGAGCAAAGGTGAGGCACCCGGGGGCGGCGGGGCACCCATTCAATGCCCTTGCTGGGCACTGGCCACTGCCCTCCCGACAACCTGGCTGTGAGCCTCACTTCCCGCCCGAGGGGATCCCTTCTATAGGTGTGGAGCCGCCCGAGCAGCCTTCCTCTACACAGGTGACTTCAAGTGAGCTCTTGGCCAGGAAGCCCCAGGCAGGAGGGTCTGTGTCCCGCTCTGGACAGGCCACCAGCCAGAGGAGACCTAGCCCGGGGCCACAGGGCTGGTTTCCCTTGCATCCCACCCCCCTGCTGCCCTCGGTAGCCAGGTGCTCACCTCTTGGTCCCCAGCATGGAGCCACCGCGCCCCAGCCAGCCAGCCACATCATGCCAGCCCACTTCTTGCACCTGCAGGGGGGAGGCATGGCTTCAGGGGGGCAGGCCCTCCTCAGGTGATGGACCTGTCCTCGGGGAGCGCACGTCCTCGGGGGAGGGGGGACAGAGGCCGTGCCTGGCACTGGCCGTCCTACCACAGGTCAGAGCGGGGTCTCGGGGCCTGGGCCAGGCTAAAGTGGACCCAGGTGCTCCCCCTCCACCCCAAGGAGAGGACCTGGCCTGGCCCTTATACCCACATGGCGAGCCCGTTGGTCCTTGTTTGCTCATAAGCAAGCCGGGGACACGTCCTAAACTGACCAAAGACACACAGGCCCACCACTGCAGGCCCCATCCCCCGCCCGGCCTCAGGCACAGCTACACCTACCTGCCCCTTGGCCAGGCCTTCAAAGCCGTCGTGCACGACGTATACCGTGTGGCCCTGGGAGATGCCGGTACGCACCGCCGAGCGCACGGCCGCGTTCATGCCAGCCGCTGGGGCCCCCACGTTCAGGATGGCCAGGGAGAAGCTGGTCTTCAGAGAAGGTGGGGAGACAAGAGCATAAGCCCCGGGTCGGGGCGGGGGACCGCCGACCCGGACAGAAGTCAGCAGAGAGCCGCTTCCGGAGAAGAGGCCCCAGTCCTCGTGGCAGCCTGGACATGGTCCAGAGATGGGACTCCCCCGGGCATGACAAAGGCCTGTCCTCCTGACACCGCAAGGCTCTGCCCGAGACCACATGAGCTATGGTGCAGGCCCCGCTCGCTACCGCAAAGTCCTCGGCCAAAGGTAGGAGCGGGACTCGGGCCGCTGTCGGCCCAGCGCGGCTCACGGGGCAGCAGTGGCTCAGGCCAGAGTCAGCGCCTGCCTGGAGGCCCTGGGCAACCACTCCACGCTCAGGGCTCAGGGCAGAAGCACCCCCAGAAAGTCCCTGGCGAGCAGCACGGGTGCGTGGCGGGAAGGGGGCCACCGCAGCCGCGGTAAGAAAGTGCAAAGAAGCAGACAATGCTCTTTCAATCCTAGGGTTGCTGGAACCTGATAGAACCAACACATCATCACCTCAACCGGGAATCAATGTAAGACATTTTGCTATCAGGCACTTCCACAGCCGTTTCCCTCGCTGCTCCGCAGAACCTGCGCCCGCGTGGCATGCAGGGACACCTCACTAGGACAGCCATGTTGCCAGCACTCCGCAGCCGCGTGTGGCCACCGGCTCTGCTGGGCAGCCTGGCTCTAGTGGGTCCTGGTAATACCAGCCTGACGCGCCCGAGGTGGTCATGCCCCAGGCGGTTCTGGAAGGGGATGTGGGGACCACCCTGCCTTGCCAGAAGACGCTGCCCAGCCCTGACCAGCTCCCGGGATGAATGGGGGGCCAGGACCCCACCGTCCAAGACTGTCTCGGTGGGACCCTTTCCTTGCCCTTGTGGTTTCAGAAACGAAGCCTGCTGTCATCTTTATTTTGAAGAGAGTCCATTTCCTGAGGGTTTTACCTATTTTGGAATGTGTCATAACACTGTATCCCTCGTCTCCTGGGTTAAACCTCCTCTCCTGACTTAAATTCCTCCAGCTGTTTGATAAGCAACAGGCCAGCGTAATCCCCAGGCCTGTCTGGGACCTGCTGGTCAAGCAGAGGCCAGGTCTGGTCCTCTCAGCTCACAGCTCAGACCCCAGACAGGAGGGCGGGTCCTGGCTCAGTGGGGCCAGCTCCCCGCTCCCTGGGCGGGGTGGCAGGGCAGGCGGGAGGAGGCCGAGGGCACAGCCAGGTGTGGGCTCTGCGGCTCGCCCCTCACCTTCTCCTTGGAGATCTTCTGGTGCGCAAGCAGCTTGTAAATGTTCCAGTTGTTCTCAAAGCTCCTGGAAAGAAAGCGGGTCATGCATGGCGCAGCCCACAGCCAAATAGCTCAGCACAGCACGGCGTCAGCAGCACAGCCTCAAAGGAACTGGACACGGGTGCGGCCCACCTCCCCACTCTTGTCGCCACGGACCCTGGCTGGGTGCCATCGCCGGGCGGCAGAGGCCCCCATGGACACGCGATCCCAATGCCCCTCTCTGCAAAGCGAGCGCCTGCTTTCAGCCTGCGTGGTCTCGGCAGCTCCGCAGCGGGGCAGGAAGCGTGGCCACGGGAACCACAGGAAGCAGACCTGCAGGGCCAGTTGACCTGGCCCCCCCGGGCCTGCCTCGCTGCTGCCTTCTGTAGTTCCCCCCTCCCCCTTCCCAGGTGCCCTCCCTGTGCTGTGTCCCCCCCATCCCCCCAGCGCCCTGCAGGCCCCGCCAGCCCCGGAGGGCACATCCACACAGCCTGCCTACTTCTCCGACACTGTCGGACCCTGTCCCTCCTACACGATGCATGCCCTAGGAGGAGGGTCTCAGAGCGCCACCTCTGCAGGTGGGCACGCCCCGTTTCGGGGGGTGGCCGTGTGCGAGCCACTCGGAGTCTGCTGTGGCCCCACTGAGCAGACAGCTGCCCAACACCAGGCCCTCCAGGGCCTCACCTGCCTCGGAGCTGGATGGCCTCTTCAAACCTCTTCTCATCCATGGCCTTCTGCACCTCCTTGGTCTTAAAGAAAACAAGATGCACAGGCTGGAGGTGGAGGCCTGGCACATGCGTCTGAGCCCAACGCGGGGGGCCTGTCCCAGACCCGCCGGGCAGCTGTCACTGCCGGGATCGAGAGGGCTGAGGGGCGAGGGGACCCCACCTGGTCTGCCAGGTCTTCCCCTCCCTGGAAGGGGCACCCGGGCCTCGCTCCCCCTCAGCCCTGGGAAGGGGGTGGGGGGCAGCTGGGGCCTAGGAACGAAGGGTGAGGCTGCTCTGGCCCCCAGACCCACCATCCAATGGCGACCAGCCTGCCCGAAAGCGGGGCCCAGGGGAGGTCGCCGCAGGAGGATCTTCCAGGAGGAGCGCCAGGGAGGCCCCCCTCCCGTGCCAGCCCACCTCCCCTGGGCAGGCCCCGCTCTGCCCCCAGCTGCAGGGCCCCCCAAACCTACCGAGCCCCGTACCCCAGTGTCCCCACAGCCAGCCTCTCTCTGCTCCCCACTCCCCGCTCCCGTGGTCCCTGCTCCGACCACGTGAGACGTCCCGGGGGCTCTGGCCACCAACTCCCCCTCCCCCTCCCATCCTAGCCCCAGGGCCCCACCCTGCCCAGTTTGCAAAGCCAGTCTGTCCCACTGGCTCTGGGAAGCTAAGTGTCCTGGGCTCCCCCCAGCTACCCCCACAGGCCCCCCATGGGCTCCCCAGCTCCCTGCAGCTCCCACACCTGTCTCGGGCTTGTCCTACCTTGGGGGCACCTTGGGGATGTGCTCACACCTCCCTCCCCCACCTGGAGGACTGCAGGCCTCAGATACCCTGAGGCCCGCTGGGGGGCGCAGCAACACACTCGGAAGGGGGGCCACAACAGAAGGCGCGATGCACCTGCCGCTCGCTCCGTGTAACACGTGCGGAGCAGCAGCCGGGCGCCCAGGGGGACGGGGCGGGGGGCTTGCAGCCGGCCTGCTGGCTGGGCCCTAAGGGGGCCTGGAAGGACAGGCGGCGCCGGGGCTGTGGTGGGGAGGGTGCCCAGGCAGGCGGGTGCTCACCATCTGGACGCACTCCATGAGGGGCAGCCGCACGGACTGGTTCCCGGAGAGGCTGACCACGCAGGCCGGCGTGTCGGGCGTGGCCTCCAGCAGGGCCATCACCGCCTCCATGCCCATCTTGCTGCTCTGAGCAGAGAGAGGGGCAGGCAGGGCTCAGGCAGGCGCAGCCGGCACGGAGCCGGCCCCATGCCACGCACACACCCTCGGCTCTCGGAGCCACACGCACACGCACACGCACACACTAGAAGCTTCTGGAGTAAGCGACGCTGTTTATTCTAGAAGTGGTGACTTAGCATGACCACGTTTCACAGCAGCCCCCCAGCACCATTTCACCGGGTCTCAGCCGGCCCAGCTAGGAGGGCGTGGCCCCTGCACCCCGGAGTTGCAGTGGCAGGGCCAGGGCTGGACTGGCGTTTCCGGAGTTCTCTCCACTATGACGAGGTTTCTCTCTTGGGGCTCCTTTGTCACGGCTGTCCTGGTGTGTGTGCAAACTTGGGCATGGGCTGGCGGGCTGGACCAGCTAAAACTGGTCAGGTAAGGACCGCCCGCCATGGAGACAAATCACAAACAGGGGTCCTGCCACAGCCAACAGGAACAGACAGGCGCGCCAGAGACCAAGGCCCGCGGCTCAGCTCGGTGACACTCTGGCGTCCCCCGCCTCCGCCGCGCCCCCAGACCGCGCCCCTGGCCTCCCACACTGGTCAGGTGGGTGTCGGGAGCAGCCCGGGAGAATGCTCCTGTGTCCCTCGGGAACCGTGTGACGGCCGCTCTCCTGTAACCCACTGTGTGCAGGTGTCGCCCTGCGGGGCCTGGGCTCGGGGACCAGCAGTAAGCTGTGCCTCTGGAGCCCCTCTGCCGCCGACCCAGGCCTCCGGTGTCTCCACCATCTGCAAAAGCAGCAGGTGAGCCCATTCTCCTGCCACCAGGTGAGACCCCGGGCCCATGCTGGCACTCGACAGCCCCTTCTGTGCGCCAGGCCTGGTGGAGGGCCAGTGCTTGACCCCCCGTCCCGAGTGCACCCCTGGGGCCAGACCCCCTCTGAGGCCAGTGTCCCCACTGCTCTGTGTGGGATGGGGACGCACTGAGGCCTCCTGGGAGAGGTTCAGTCCAGCGGCTCCCCCAGGCCCACGCTGGCCACCTGGCCTCACCCAGCACGGTGGCCCAGGCACAGCTCCAGCCAGCCCTGCAGTCTCCAGCCCCCAGCCCCGGTGACCAGCGCCTCACAGGTGGGCGCTTCACCACCTCGGGGCCTCCCTGGCCCTGGGCCCTGGCCCTGTGGGGCTGCAGCATGACTCCCACCCTGTAGAGGGTGGGGTGGGACCAGCGGTAATCAGGATTCGGCACCCAGGCCGCGGAGCTGGGCACCCAGGCCCTGGGCCAGACTGAGAACAACGAGACGTCGACCTGCCGCTCACCCCGCCCTCCTTTCCCAAGGTCCTGCCAAAGCCATCGCCAAGAGGGTGTGGCCTAGGCTGCCAGGCCGTGGTCTCACCCACAAGCACCAGCAGCAGTGAAAAAATGCTCACGCACACCCACGCATGCACACCCACCACGCCACCCGTGCAGCACACCCAGCACCAGGGTGACGCCCCACCTACCAGGATGCGGTCGAACGCCGAGGGGGTCCCTCCCCTCTGCACGTGGCCCAGCACGGTCACACGTGTGTCAAAGCCCAGCCTCTGGACCACTAGCTGCTCGTGGGGACAGAGAGAGGGTTCCTGAGTTTGCCACTCTACCCCACTGTCCCACCACCCCGTGGCCCCCAGCCCTCTCCCCTCCCCCTCCCGCCCTGCCTCAGGGATTTCAGGGTGTCAGCTCCCCAGGGGCCCCACAGAGCCAGCCCAGGGTTCACGCCTATAGCCTGAGCGTGTGCACGTGTGCTCCTGTGTGTGTGGGTGTGTGTTTCCATGTGAGTGTGTGGGCGTGTGGTCCCACACGTGCCGGCTGCAGGAGCTCATCATGGTCTCCAGCCCCTGTGAGTCAGGCCTTGCCAGGAACTGTGGCAGGAAGCAGAGCGCACAGGGTCGGCAGAGGGGCCGGCTCCTGGCAGCACCTGGTTGGGAACTCAAGGACAGGGTGGGCGGCCAAAGTGAGGAGCATGGAGGCTCCCAGGGGCTGTGCCCCACTGGGGGACGGGGGCCCAGGGCCCTGGGCAGAACCCGGCAGATGGGTGCCGCTCACAGGGACGAAGGATTCCCCCCAAAGTTGTTCTGTTATGAATCTGGCACTGGATAGGCAGTGGGCTCCCCTGTCAACGGGGGCCTGGCAGGGGCTGGACCCTGTCACTGGGACACTGTTGGGGGGCTGGACAGGGCTCCTAGGATGGGAGATGATCTGAATGAAGACTGGAAACCAGAGGGTTGGGGGTTCCCAGCAGGCGGGAGCCACACCTCAGCCTCAGAGGGGCCAGGGCTTCTCAGGAGTCCCGGCTGCACCCACCCCACATCTGGCAATCGTTAGGGACAAGAAAGCTCCCTCCAGGAGCTGGGGGTGGGGCCCCAGCAAGAGCATTTGGGGACTGGAGATAAAGGGGAGCCCCCTCCCCAAGGCCCCGCCCACCCCACGTGACCCAGGGCCCCCACACTCACGTCCTTCACGTAGCGGGATGAGATGGGCTTCCCGTTGCGGTCGATGGCGCCCTCAGCAATGATGATGATGTTCAGTCGGGACCCTCGGCTCCGAGTCTGGGTCAGAGACACGGCAGGACTCAGCTGCCAGCCCGCAGACACCGCCCCAGACACGGCTGCGACCTGCAAGCCCTCCCCAGGGTCCACGCCGCGGGGCTCATGTGGGCGACGGGTGGACTGAGGTGGGTGAACCAGGACCCCGCTGCCCCTCCTGGGGGTAGAGACTGGGGGACTGGAGGATTCCTTCTCCCCCTCCCCCTCCCCAGACTGCGGGAAGATTTCCTCCCTCAGCTGGTGATGGACGAATTAGCCTCACTTAACTGTTGCAAAGGCAAAGCTCTTTGGGGATTTGAAAGTACTTTTTGTTTATTTATCGCCTCAACAAATGTTTGTGGGATTCACTCTGATCCACCAGCCTCAGATGTTTGCCCCACAGCACCCGGAGAGACTCAGAGAGAAAGACAGGGTCAGAGCAGCTCCTGCAAGACCCGGGTACAGAGGGGCGGGGGAGCCAGGAGCGGAGGGCTCCCTGGAGGAGGTGGGGGCGGTGCAGTGAAGGGAGACAGCCAGAAGAGCCCACGCCTCCCTCAGCCTCAGTCGCTGCAGCCCAGGAGGTGGGCAGGGCAGAGGGTGACACCTGCACGTAACAGGTGGGGAAACTGAGGCTCAGGGAACCCCGGGGCGGGGTGGGGCGAGGGCCTTACACAGAGCAGCAAAGAACCATGATGTGAGGCCAGGCCTGGGGCCAGGCCACTTCCAGGAAGACCCAGCCCCAAGTTCTCAGCGAGTAGGCCAAGGCCGAGGTCAGCCAGAGACCATCACCACCAGAGCCCCCCGCTACCCAGGCGAGGCCACAAGGCCACCCTGGGGTGCAAGGACTTCCCCCAAGGAGAGGACAGAGGCCTCTGGCCAGCTTCGCTGCCAGGCTCACTGGGGAAGGTTCCAGAAGCCAGTCATGGCCCTCGGCCCCTCCCACTGCCCTGGGCAGGGGTACAAAACCCCGGGGTGTGAGTGGGAGGTGGGGAGAGCAGCCTCCGGCAGCGGACGGGACTGATGCCACCACCGCGGTCACACGGGGAGAGGGACGCTCCAGAGCCAGCCCCGGGCCGCCCGCCTCTCCCTCAGGAAACACAGGGCCTGGCACTGACCTCCCAGGACAACAGAACAAACAAAAGGCCCGGCCCCGGGCAGCCTCCACACTCGTCCCGCTCTTGGGCCAGGATGCAGAGGACACTGGGGTTTGACACAGCCCGTTGGGCCCCAGACTGGGCCCGAGTGTGAACTTGGGTGTACAGCCTCAGGGGCTCCCCTGCCTTGAATCCAGACCACAGCCCTCGAGTGCCCCCCGACCCCTGATCTGAAGGCGCCTCTACCCCCGCGTCACAGCCCTCCCGTCCACCACTGGCCTAGCCAAGGGGCCAGCCTATCCTTGTTGGGGGGCCTCGGGGATGCCCAGGGCAGAGTATTTGCCTGTTCTGTGCCAGAGCCCCCCAGCTCCATCTTGAAGGGCCTGGAGAGCCGCGTTCCAGGCCCCCCGTCTCAGGCACCCCTGCTCGGCGATGCTCAGGCACCCCTCCCTGCGGTCAGGGCCCGAGGGAGCCAGCCTGACCGTGTCCCCGCTCCCGCCCCTCGCCCATGTCAGCACTGACCACGCAGAGCCGAGCCTGGGGCAGTGGTGAGTGTGCCCCTCAGGCCCCTCTGCGGCAGCCCCCGGGTGTGTCCATGGGCGTTGGCGCCCTCGGGGGGGATACTTGCTGAACCAGAGGGAAGTGAATCCGCCAAAGCTGGCCACGTGACCCCAGGGACACTCTCGTGGGGGACACGGGCCACGCAGCTCACGGCAGACACCCTGGGAGAAGACCCCCTGGCCCTCACCTCACCCAGCCGCTCACACATGAAGTTCTCCCAGCCGTCCTCGGGCGGCGCCTCAGGGATGAACAGCCAGTCGGCCCCCGAGGCCAGGGCGGACACCAGGGCCAGGTATCTGGAGGGGCAGGAGGGGGAGGGGCTGCAGTAGGTGGGCCCCCGACCCGACACCACGGGCCCCGGTCCCTGGGTCACAGGGGATGTACAGCTCTGAGAGCGGCACCCAGCCCCACAGTCAGGACTCCCCACACCCCGGCTCTCACACCCACAGTGTCAAGTGAGCACCTGCCACGTGCCAGGAGCCCTGGAGGCGCCGCACCCTGCTCCCTCTTACCCGCAGTGCCGCCCCATCACCTCCAGCACGAAGGTCCTCTGGTGGCTGTGGACGTGGAAAGGGCAGATGGCATCAGTGCAAAGTCCCCCTGAGCGGAGCTGAGCCACGAAGCCTGGCCTCTCGTGCCACACCACCCATGGCCCCAGCTCCGCCAAGGGCGTGCCCAGGAGAGACAGAGGACTTGGGAGCAACAGACAGCCCTTGTCATTCCCAGGGCGGCCAAGGCCCTGGGCAAAGGGCCACCTCTGTCTCGGGCTCACAGCCAGCTTCACGCTGGTCTTCACCGATCTTTGCTCCTGAGGCTGAAGGCCATTCACCCTGCTGGGGCCTGGCCGTCACTAGCCAGCAGCCTGAGGACCCCCTGTGGGGGTGCACCATTGCCCCAGGGCCAGAGGAGACCTGTCAGAGCCACTGCCCACCTAGGGCTCGGGACAACCTGGCAGGGTGGGGACCAGACCCCCAAGCCCCTCTGCTCACCCCGCTGTAAGTCTCCCCCAACACGGGGTCTGGGGGTAGCCAGTACAGGCTCCTAGGGATGGAATTACGCTGACGTTGACCCTGCAGAAGGGCAGCCTCAGCCCCTCGCCGGGAGACGGGATCCCAAGCTTTCTTGCCTGGTGGCCTGGCTGGGCGGGGGGCTGCGGGCCTCACTCACCTCTGGGCGGTGGTGGTGATGGCGTCGATGACCTCCATGATGCGGTGCAGGGCCGAGTCCGTGCCGATGGTCATGTCGGTGCCGCAGAAGTCGTTGTCAATGGAACCCACCAGCCCGGCGATGCTCAGGTGCGAATAGGTCTGAGCCGTGCTCTGTGAGATCTTGCCTGGGAAGGAGGAGGCCAGCCCAGGTGCAGCCGCAGCAGCCCCACCCGGCCCCCTTGGCCACAACATGGGGCCCGGACCCCGATCCCCACCCCCTCCCCCAGCCCACCCGGCAGTGCAGCCTGGTCAGGTCCCCAGGTCCTGCAGCAGGGGTCCTGGGGCCGGGCGGCAGTGGCTGAACCACTGATTACAGACTTGTCACCCTCTGGGAGACGTCCAGGGGAGCCCTGGAGAGTGCACCCCTCACTTCCAGGTCCCCCACGAGCAGCACAGAACCAACGAAGCTCCAACAGGTCACTTTCCGACTGGTGACCCCCCAGGACTCTGTGTCTTATGTTACCAAATTTTAACTATCACACTTCTGCAAACTGTGACAAGTCCGTAACCCGCGTTGGGGAATGAATCACTCCCGGCGCAGGTGAGTCAGCCTGGGAGCTGCCATCCAGCACTAGGAGGACAGCCCTGCCTGGGGGCCCCTGACGTTGGGTCCCCACAGGCCTCACTACCAGCCAGACCCGGGCCCGTGGCTCCTGGAGCCACCGAGGGTCCGCCTGATCTCGGGCCAGGCCCCCACCCCCCGGCCAGCAGCCACGCAGCATCTCGCTTCCTCTAGTCCTGCCTGTTCCCGGCCGCAGCTGCTCCGCCGCCGACCCACCTTCGCTCACCAGCTCCGCCAGCAGGCGGCCCCACTCGCCGCGGAAGACGTTGGCGCCCGTGAGGCTGCCGTCCCCACCGATGACGCACAGGTTGCTGATGCCGCGCTGGACCAGGTTGTAGGCGGCCGCCCGGCGCCCCTCCCGCGTGGTGAAGGCCTTGCAGCGGGCGCTGCCAATCACGGTGCCGCCCTGCACGGAGGAGGGGCAGCCTGGGCCAACGGGGCACGCCAGAGGGACCCGGGTACTGGGCCGGGGCGGCCTGGGAGACCCCAAGGAACGGAGGGCCAAGTCCAGGGGCCCCTCAGAAGCCTGGGCAGGTGTCCGCCTCCCCCTGCCCCAACCCCCTGGACTTTCTCCTCATGTGTGCAAGGAGGAGACTGTCCACCGTCAGGCTCGGGGAGCTCGACAGGCAAGGAATGAGCAGGCTCTGAGGTCTGTAAGGCGTGCACACACGCACACACGCCCGTACTCTGGCCCACAAGGCCGGGCACCAACGCAGGGATGTGCCTGGGCAGCTCATGCCGTCGTCCGCATGCCCCCCCACCCCCGCCACCAGCTCAGCCTCAGCCGAGGCTCCCCAGGCCCTGCCCACAGGCAGAACTGCCGGCCCCTGCACTCAGCCAGCTGGTGGGGAAAGTGTGCTGCTCCCCAGACCACCGAGAGCACCGGGCTGGGCCCTGGGCCCCAGGCTTCACGGAAAACGCAAATCAGAGCTGGCCCTGGCCCAGCCCAGCCTCCCCCTGCGCCCCTCCCCGCTGCCCCCATGCTCTACACTCCCCACCCGTCTCTAAACGCCAGCCCGCATCCTCACCTGCCCACCTTTCATGCAGCTTCACACCCCAGCTAACACTTGGCCTAAGGCTCCTTCCCGGGGTGGTCTCTCAGGACAGAGGCCACAGCCATCCTCAGACACAGGCTCAGAGCAGAGCAACGGCTGGATCCAGGCCTGAGGCGTGATGGCCGCCCTCCCTGGACCCCTGGGGTGGAGGACGAGGCACCCAGGCTGCAGCCCCACCCATGACGGGGTCAGGGAGCACCGCACCAGAGCAGAAGGACACGGTGGGGGGGCTCTGATGAAGAACAGGGCTTGTCCATGCCCCACTGGACCGTCGAGGGCTCAGCAAACGGGCCGCTCCCACGAGCGCCTGGAGCGCGCGGTCCCTTGGGGACGTCCACCCTGGGCAGGAGCAGGGGTGGCACGGCAGGGTTGGCTGTGCCTGGATGACCCAGGGTCCAGGCCCGTCGCCCACTGCTCCGCTGACCTATACATAGCATGTGACGACGACAGGCCTCTTAAATAAGCAGGTATCAGCTGGTGGTCTAGGATACACAGGTGACAGGTGCCCCACAGCAGGCCCTGCTCTGTGGGAGGACTCGGGTCTCCCTACAGAGACCTGGTTCAAAGACCCCCGCTCCTAGGACCCCGTTGCCCCAGCGAGGTGCTCAGCGCCCCACCCTCAGTAAATAGGATGACGAAGGGGAAGGCAGGGGAGGTGCAGAGAGGCCGCTGAGGCCAAGCATGCCTCTTCCAGGGTGTCCTCCCCTCCCAGAGCCCGCAGCTGGAAGCTGAGACATCCCGGGGCCATCGCATCCCCATGACCTCCCACTCCCGCGCCCCCAAGGCAGTCGGACGACAGTCAGCCGGGAGCCGAGCCCCTGCGGGATGGTGTGTATGCCTGCGTGCCTGTGTGTGTGTCTCTGTGTGTGTCTGATGTGTGCACCTGTGTATCCCTCTGTGTGTCCCTCTGTGTGCCTACGTGTCTTCTGTGTGTCTCTGTGTGTGTCTGATGTGTGCACCTGTGTATCCCTCTGTGTGTCCCTCTGTGTGCCTGTGTGTCTCTATGTGTGTGTCTCTGTGTCCTCTGTGTGTCTGTGTGTGTTCTGTGTGTCTCTGTGTGTCTCTGTGTCCTCTGTGTGTCCCTGTGTGTCTGTGCATGTGGTGTGTGCACCTGCATATCCCTCCGTGCGTCCCTCCATGTGCCTGTGTGCATGTCTCCGGTGCACACGCGTGCTCATGGCGGGAAGGGCCGCGGGCCTCACCAGCTGGATGATGTTGGAGACGCTGAGCCAGTTGGCTGGCCTGATGTTCTCGCCCCCTTCCACGAGGCCCTCGTAGCCCTGAAAGTGAGGGGACAGGCGTGAGAAGGGCGCCCACAGCAGCAGGACACGTGGAACCTCGGCCAAAAGCCCATCTGGCAGGAAGTGGGCCCAGGGATCCTGAGCACAGAGGCCCCTCCACCCCCAGGGCCTTGGGGGATGAAGCCAGGGTCTGCTGGGGTCAGGGGTGTCAGGGGAGAGGCCGGGGTGCCCAGACGCCTCCCCAGGCACGATCTGTGGGGCCTGCAGGGTAGCGCGTTACAGACAGAGCACGACTTGCTCGGCAGCGCTCCTGTCGCAGGCAGCCCTGGGATGTATGCCCACGAGCCGCAGCTGGGTCACCGCGCCCGGGTCAGAACCAGATCCAGCCCAGCGCCCAGCAGCCCCTCTGCCTTCCGGGACCCTCCCTGCCAGAGACACCCACTGCCCTGCCTCCTAAGGGTGCCGATTAGGTGCGGAAATGACAGCACAGCGTCCCCTCTGCGTCTGGCCTCTTTCGCTCGGCCGGGCATCTGCGAGGCCCCACGAGGTCACGTGCAACTGTGTCTGCGCTCGCTGCCATGCGGGAGTCCCCTGCGCACTCCCACAGTTTATGACCTGTCCACCGCTGATGGATTCTGGAGGGATCCGGTTTGGGGCTATTGGAAATAACGCTCCATATCTCCCGGGAAAGGACTCCCGGGTCACTGGGTGTGCAAGCAGCCACCAACAGTGCTGCCACACAGTGCCCATAGGCGCCTGTGGCCACCTCGCCCATCAGCAACGCGGCCAGGGCCTCAGAGCGCCCCACCCCAGCGCCGGGCCATGCTGGTCTCCATCCTGGAGGCTGTATGTGGTCCCTGCAGGGCTTCTCCCCTGCGTTTCCCTGATGACACATGCTGTTTCGGGTATGACGTAAGCCACAGGCCACCTGGACAGCCTCTGCGAGGGTGGACCGTTCCAGTGTCTTGCCTGTTTCTGTTCTCGTGTGGCCAACCCCTTCTTATTAGCAGGAGCTCTTTATAGAGTCTGCAGAGAGGACACGTGCTTTCACAAATGGTGAAAAGACGAGGCACCGCCGAGCTGCAATGAGCAGGGCCACCTCCTCTGTGCAGCCCTCCCAGCACCTCCAACGAAACAGCCATGAGCCACTGCCCCTGCCTGGGGTTTGGCTCTGCGACCCGCCTCCTCCGTTCCCACACTTGTCATTAGATCAGCCGGGGCCTGCAGGGTCCTGGGCAGCGGGGCCTGGGGGCGGGCGAGGCAAATGCTCCCACCCCTGGGAAGAGAGGGGGAAGCAGCTGGAAGAAGGGCCTCAGGACGAGACCCCCGTCTAAGGGATCGTCAAGCTACCTTCCCCAGCTCAGGCCAGGCTTGGCCCCCTCTCGCCCCCTCTCAGTCCGGTCAGGAATTTGGCCACTAGGACACTCCCCCCCCGCCACGCCCACCCCCTCCCCACAGAGAAGCAGGAAAGTAACCTGAAAACCCACAGCCACTGTCCAGAGCAAGCGACAAAAGAGGCCGCCCTGAGTCCGCAAAACCCCAGCCCCACGGTGCTCCCGGCTGGAGTCAAAGTCTCACAGACACAGTCCTCCTTTCCTGGCCTGGGAACCTTCTGGAATGTCTTTGCACACCTCCAGCCACTTTGTGTCACCTCTCCCCTCCCCACTCCTCTGCCTTCTCCACTCCCACCTGGCTGGGCACCCAGGCAGCCTCAGAACTGGCCGCAGGCCCAGGGCACTTCCAGCAGCCATCCTTGTGGCAGCTCTGAGCCCACAGGTGCAGTTTGGGCTGTAACATGAATAAAGTAGCCCCGTTCACTGAGCCCTTCTCGGCGCCAGGGGCTGTGAAAAGTGCCTTAACTCTCAGTGTTGCATTAGCTTTTCGCCCTAACACCCCACTTCACAGAAGAAACCAAGGGTCAGGGAGGTGAAGGAATGCCCCTGTCACGTGTGTACAACCTCCAGGAGCCGCGCCCTGGACCCGCCCCGCCCTGATTAGAGACCACTTGTTCACAAAACTAGGCGACTCCCTGAAGAATCTCACCCTGTCCTTCAGAAGGTTCTAGACCATTATCACGGCATCGGTTCCACCTGCCCAGCTCCTGAGGCCACAGGTCCCTGAGACTCTGAGATGTGTTCCCGAAACATGACCTAAGGCTTTGCAGGGTCCTGGTCATCCAAGCCTGGTCTGAGGGTCTGGACTCTGCAGGAGGGAGGGGTCTGCAGAACTGCCCGCCCATCTGTTCACTCAATAGCCCCGTACAGACAAGGCTGGGGAGGAAGGGCCTGACCTGGACCAGAGTGAAGGGACGGGACGCGGACACACCCAAGGTGGGAGGAGGGAAGCTCTGGGGAGAGCAGAGCAGGTTGGGATTCGCTACACTTTAGCAAAGAGTGAAAACAAAGTAACACAGTGGGAGAGAACTCCAGGACTTGTGTGTGTGTATGTGTGTGTGTGTGAGAGAGAGAGAGAGAGAGTGTGTGTGTGTGTGTGTGTGTGTGTGTGTGAGATCTCGGGGGACAGGAACTGGGGCTAAGGCAAAGGGCGCACCAGCTTTAGCCGGAGCGAAGTAGCACCATGATTCTCTGCTGCTTTGCGTAAGGAGGCCGTTTGCTGCTGTCACCAGGGTAGCTCGAGCTCGGCTCGGGTGATGAGGGCACAGGAGGGCTGCGCGTCGGAGGACGGGTGGGGCTGAGGTCCCGGCCTCTGAGGAGAGCAGCCGCTTCACGTCCTCCTCTCTCTCAGGGGACGCACCCACCCGTGAGCGCCCAGGCTGAGGGCGGACTCCCCATCCACACCCCAGAGCCTGGCAGCCCTGCCCCATCTGCCATCCTCACCCCTCTCCCCGCACTGCTCCCTGCCAGAGCGTGGGGCGAGGACCGCCCTGCCCGCACCTTACCTCGTAGATGAGGAAGACTTTGGCTCCCACGTAAATGCCCATGCGCGTCACGGCTCGGACGGCAGCATTCATGCCTGCGAAGGGGTCCGGGAGACGCCCGTCAGTGGAGACGCGGAGTGTGGGCGCCCTGGACCGTCCCTCCCACATCTCGGGGGGCACCGAGCCAGGACTCCGAGTCCAGCACGGGGTGAGCCCCCCCGCATTGTATCGGCTTCACACTCGGAAATAAGCCGCCCCAGAGTTAAACCGGGAAGTTCCCCCCAGGGCCCGACTCCCCCTGAGCCCGGAGCAGAGGCACCTGCAGACGTGCGACATCGCTTCCGGCCGCATCCCCGCCGCCCACGCTCACCTGCAGCCTCTGCTGCCCAGCACAGCCCCCCTCCCCGGCCCCCAGGGCCCTGACCTGGGGGAATCGCAGCAGGTCGGGCACATGGCCCCAAGATACAAAACGGGGCAGGTGGGACGCAGGGGCAGCCGCCTCCCAAATGCGCCCACAGCCACTGCTAGACTCTTGGGCCACCACCCTGGGGGGCAGCTCGGGGAGCACCCTGAGGTCGGTGCCTGTGGCCCTGGGGCCATGAGCCCCCTGCCCCTTGGCCTGCAGGGTGGGCTCCGTGAGACAGGAGAGGAGGACAGCACCCCCTAGGGCCAAGTTCAGGCTCCTGGGGGTCGCACGGCCCCAGTGCAGCTGAGTGGGCCGGCGCCCCTGCTCCCCAGCCTGCAAACATACTCCGGGGCCACCAGGCTCAGTGGGTCACCTCTTCCCGTCCCCCAGCCCCGGACCCCCACGGCCCCCAGCCCCCGTCTACAGCAGCCACCTTGCAGTATAGGCTTCCTGGAAAGACGGACACTCACGGGGCAGGACGAGGGGGCAGGAAATGCTCAGAAGAGCCCAGAGGAACCTCAGTTCCCTTCCCTCGTGGTCAGTTCTGAGACTGAGACCCAGAGAAGGCAAAGGTGTCCCTGAGGTCCCTGCACGGGGTCGGAGGCACCCCATTGCGTTCCTGAGGTCCCTCCACGGGGGGGCGTCCCGCTGCGTCCCCGGGGTCTTGCACACAGTCAGGCTCACAAGGCACAACGTGAAGAAGACCCCGTGGGCAGCCCCACGAGAGACTCGAGCACCGCAGTGGCCCACGCCGTGGCCCTGCCCTGTCTGTGGGTGGGACGCGGCCCCGCCCAGGGCTGCAGCTGCTACGGGCCTGGACAGTGCCAGGCCAGGGGCCCTGTGCGGGCACCTGGGGAAGGCCCAGCCTCCACACTGCCTGCCACCTGGCTGGGGCCCAGGGACGGGCGAGGGGCAAAGGGTTGAGGGGGCAGGAGCCTGGAATCAGTGGCTGCAAGCAATTTGCCTCAAACCTTCTTGCCCGTCACAAAAGATGTCAGTGGTTCGATACAAAGGGGCGGGCAGGGCGGCCCCCACGTACTCAGAGGAAGACAGTTGGCCAGTCACCTGCCCTGGGCTCCAGCCTCTGACCCTGGGTCTGGAGGCTGGATCGCGGACATGACCTGCACGTGGTCTGGCCCTAAGCTGGGAAAGCCCTTCCCTGGAGGCGGCGGGGCACCAGCCAAGGGTGGCCGAGGCCCCAGGAGCCCTGCCCCACCCCCGGGCGCTCTGAGCTGGTGGACGGGCAGTGTCCATCAGCTTGGGTGTCCTGCGGGAGTGCCATCACCCCCAGGGTCCCTCGTAGCTTGTGTGGTCCACAGGGTGACCCTGACGTAAAGACTCTCGACCTTTACTGTACTTAACACGAGTCTCACCCCGTCTCCAGCCTGGAAGGCGGGCCCAGGGGGAGCAGGTAGCTCCCAGAGGACCGTGGAGGGCTACATAGCATATGGCACCTCAGGAAGAGCCCAGCGGGCAGAGCCTACCCCAGTGCAGGCTCACGGCACCGGGCTCCCAGGAAATCAGCCCGCTGTCACTGCCCTCATTTTGCAGATGAGAAACCGAGGTCCCAGAGGGAAGGCAGGGGAGCTGCTGGAACCCCGGCAGGTGAGGGCAGCGCCAGGATGTACCCTGGACCCCCCTTGGGCTCGGCAAGCTGCCCTGTCCCCAGCCAGCAGCCGAGGCTCCTGCTCTCTGACGTCCAGAGCCAGGGACTCCCGGGGCCGAGGTGCCCAGATGTCACGGCTGGCAGAGCACAGGGGTCAGAGGGCCCTGAGCGGGCCACACTCACAGCTGACACACCTGCCTTTAGCAAAAGAACCCCATTTCTAAAGAAATCATAAAAGTCTCACGGCCCCAAAACGAGTGGAAGTGGGGTTTCGGTGACTGCAGTTAGGGGTAGGAGCCCAGAGAGTGTACCCCACCCCCACCCCCAGACAGCCGGGCTGCCCCAGGAACCGGACCCGAAGGGCTGACGGTCCTGCTGCCTGAGGTCAGGGGCCTCGAGCTGCAAGCTTCCTGCCGTGCCTGCCCTCGCTGGCCTGCCTGCCCTCGCTAGCGGGGGGCAGGGCAGGGGCAAGGAGGGACATGAGACAGCTGCAAAGCTGCCCCCCCGGCCCCCAGCAGGCCCTGGGTCCTGCAGAAGCATTCGGCTGCCTCTGGGGCCTTGGGCAGCCCAGGCTTTCCACCCTCAGGTATCTGCCTCCCCGGCTGCCCTCGCTGGGGTGAGGCCACTTTGGGTTCACTGCAGGCTCCGGTCCAAGCCCCACCCCCTGGCAACTGGAGGGAGGCCAGCAGTTCCGGAAGGGGCGGTGGGAGGGGTGGGGGCAGTGGCGGGAGGCCCAGGGACTGCAGGCTTAGGGTAGAGTGTGCTCAGTCTCGCAGAGGAGAGCAAATGGCCATATTGCAGGAAAACCCTTCAATCTTCGAATGGAATTGTGCCAGCTACCAGGGATACGGAGGCCTGAGGGCGTGGCTTTCCCTGCAAACCTCACTGCAAACTGCCTTCCTGAAAGGGCCTTTTTATTGCCCTTTCATCTGCTTTTCTTTCTCAAAATAAACCCAGGGTGGCAGCCACGAGCCCCACAGGGCCAGAGGAGCAGGGAGGAGAGCAGCTGCATCTCCCGCCGACGGAGCAGCCCTGGACCCCTCCACTCCACCCTCCAGCCTCCAATGGGCCAGGGACACTGCAACAGATGACTTCCTGTTGGAGGAAAGCGACACCACCGCCAAACTGATGTCATACGGTGACTTCTCTTCACAATTAGCTTCCAGGAAAACAAAACGTACAAGAAAGAGGTGATCGTGGCGGGACACGGGGCCCCGCAGATTCGCACTTAGCATCAGTTGATGTGAAGACCTGGAGCCAGGCTGGGACATAACGAGATGGGGGCGGTCCTCACCCACAAATACAGGACGTCCACGTCCACACGGATCCACCCAGAAAAGGCCGGTCCCGCGCGTTACTGAGGGACAGGGTGGGGTCCGCCCCAGGGGCGAGACCGAGGCGTGGAACCAGTGGGCGGCGGGGCTCTGTTATAGTCTTCTAGTCACTTTTGCACAAAGTAACATCCGTAACGACCACCTTCCCTCAACGCACGGACACCTACTCCCCGCCAACGGGAAGGGCAGAGGACGCGACTTTCAGGCTGGCTGGAAGGAACCCACCAGGTGGCTTGTCTTGTTTACAGAAGGGGAAACTGAGGCCCGAGGGATGTGCTCGGGTCAAGTCAGAGAGCTGGTGGAGGCCGGCCCCACCGGGACAGGGTCTGCCCGCTCCCCCGCCGCCCACTGCCGCGAGGCTGGCTGGTTTCCACTCACTCCAACAAATGCAGACTTGAGCCTCGGGGAGGCAAGTGCAGGTCGGGGTGGGTGCCCGTTCTCCACGGCGGCTGTCAGCCACACGCCCGCCCGGGGGGGCCCGCGGGGAGGGCCCACCCGGCACCATCAGGTCCCTAGAGGTCGGCCTCTATTTGGAAGGCAGCGGGGGCCCCTGAGGGCAAACCGAGAACCCACCGTCTGGAGCTAGCTCCCCGGAACAGTGCCGGCGAGAGGGCGCAGGCCCGGCGCGGACACCCACAGGCTGGCCTTCAGAACTTACAATACAGAAAGGCTCCCTGCCCCCCAGAGAGCAGCTGGCCCTGGCATCTTCCCCCAGGCATCAGCCCAAGCCCTAAACTGGGGAAGCTTGTGGAGCCCTCCTCTCTCGCAGCCCCGATCAGAAAATCACGTTACAGCCAGGGGTCTAGGGAAGCGAGGACACAGCGCGAGGTGAGGTGGCCGGCCCAGCCGGCAGTGCGCTGACGGCCACACTCCTGGGTGTCCAGGAAGCACTGCTCGTTCCATGTGGAGCATTAGGGCCAGGCTGGCCAAGGGGAGACCTACAGGTCATACAGGCTTTGCCCTCCACTGGCCCACCGGCCCAGGCCGGCAGCCTCTTCCTCCCTGGCCCTTCAGCTGCCCCCACTGATCCCTCGTCCTGTTTAGTCTGTGCCACCCACCGGCTCGGCTCCCCTGCCTAAACGTGCATTTATCTTTCCCAGCCCTCCCTCCAGTGCTGTTGTCTCCATGGTGCAGACAGGAGCCTGGGTGGAGACCCCTGTGCCTGCTCGAGCCGGGGAGCTGGGGCCTCGCAGAGGAAGGGCCTCTCTGGAGAGGCGGGCCCAGCCTCTCAGGAAGTGTCCGTCCCCCATATACCAGGCCCTTCCCGTGGTCCAATCTCACAGGGCAATGCTTCCCCAAGACCACCCTCCTCCCACCTGGCCCCGGCCCGCTGGCCATGCCCTAAGAGGGAGCCGCCGCTGCCCAGCACCAGGCAAGCGCTCTGGCCACGCGGGGCTGCAGACGTGCGGCGGAGCCAGACCAGGTCCGGAGGGCTCAGCCCAAACCCGCACAGGCCGGGACGCAGACAGTGGCTGATGTCTCTGCCTTCCTGGGCTTGCTCCTTGTGAAAGCTCCTTCTAGCTCTTCCCTGCTTCTGAGCGGGGAGCGGGGAGCGGGGAGCGGGGAGCCGGGGGCCTGAGGCAGGGAGAGGAATTCTGCGTCTGGACTTTCTGACCTGGAAAGAGGCAGATCAGGCCCGGCTGTGCAGCCTGAGAGTGCCGGCTAGGCTCCTTCCAGGCCTGCTTCCTGGGCTAATTAAGGTGTCTCCTGAGGTTCAAGGTGTGTGGTGTGGCCACGCGGCCAAGCCCGACAGGTGTGACACGGGCCATCCCAGGCCAGAGGCGCTGAGGAGGGAAGCAGTCAGGACAAGTCCAGGGCACCAGGACGGACCCCAGGAGGGGCACTCGGCTAGCTCTGCCAGGCCCCAGCTGCGGGACCCTGGGCAGGTCAGCAGGAAGGCCACCACCTTTGGCCTCCCCTGTACAAGGGGGGTGGGAACAGCTCTGCACTAAAGAAAATGCCCCAGAGCCGCCCTGGAGGCAGTGATTTGGGGGAAGCACGCTGCCCCCAAGTCGTGTTTCAAAACGACCTGGTTAGAGCCGGGGCTCTGTGGGCCTGCGGGGACCTGCCCATCCTTCACTGGCCTCCGCTCAGCTTGGCCTCCAGGAAATGGGGCTTCTGAGACGCGCCACCGGGAAGGGGTGCGGGGAGGGCCTGGGGTCGGCAGGAGGGGCGGCCGGCGAGAGCACCCTGTGCCGGCCACGGCCGGCCGCGCGGACACACCCCCGGCGGGCCGGACGCAGAGGCCGTGGGGGGCGGCACGTACGCGGGCCCCCGGCGCGCGAGGGCGGGTCCAGGACGCGGACCGGGAAGGGGACCGGGGCTGGGAGGGGGAGGAGGAGGCGGGAGGCGCAGGCCGGGAGGAGGACCTGCTGACCGCGTGCCCCAGGTGCCGCCGAGGGTGCGGGAGCGCCCCAGGGACCCGGGGACAGCAGCACCCCCGCCCGCCGGCGACCGGCCCCCGCGTGCCCGCGCCCACCTTGCGCATCGCCGCCGCTGGTCAGCACGCCGATGGCCTTGCCGGCCCCGGACATCCGCAGCTTCTCCAGATCCACGGTGGCCATGGTGGCGCCGACTCGGCCGCACTCGCTCTCCCGCCGCGCGCCGCCGCTGTCGCTGGTCCCGCCCCGCGCCCTGCGCTCCGCCCCGCGCCGTGTGATGTCACCGCTGTCCACGCCGGGGCGGGGCCGACGTGCACCCGGCACCTGGGCGGCGGAACTGGGGCTCGACCCGGCAGCGCCGGCCTTTTTGTTCAAGTTTCTAAACCTGTTCAGTCTAACAAGGGGCGCGTTTACTGAGGGGGCGGATCGCGGCCGTCTGGGTCTGTTAGGCACACCCTGCGGCGAAGCTGGTCAAGCACGGTGACCAGACCTGAGGGAAGGCCAGCCAAGGGAGGCCAGACGAGTCCCATTGCCAATCGCTGCCTGCCCGGCTTCCCGCGGGAATTTCTTATTCCAGCCGCCGGTCTGTTTCGACGTCGTTCATTGCAGGAGCCACAGAAGCTCTACCCCGACTCGGGACACCCCTGGCGACGGCCCTCCCACCCGGAGGGGTGCATGATGATTAAGATGCGAAAAGAGTTAAGAGGAAAACCAGCCCGCATCCATCCATGCATTTATCCCTTACTTCAGTAAATGTTTGCTGGACCCTTGGAAAACCTGCACACCAGGCATCGTGTGGGGTGGGCACCTGGGTCAGGACAGGGGGCTCTACCTTGGGTGGTCAGTGGGTCAGTCACTCGGAGCCACGAAGCCCCTCCCCGGATCCAGGTCCCCCGAAAGGTGGGAATCCAGCCCAGTCACCAGACAGACTGGACCCTTGCCCTCAGGAAGACTGATCGCTGGTGGGAGAGTCCCCGTGAACCAAATCGGGGGCTTTGAGGAAAGGCATCCGTCGTGACAGGGCCCAAGACACCCAGTGGGGTGGGGGGCTGGGGGTGGGGGTGGGTAACATTCTGTTTCTTTCTTTTAATTAATTAATTAATCTGGCTGTGCTGGGTCTTAGTTGCGGCACACGGGATCTTCACTGTGGTGTGCGGGGTCTTTTTTGTTTTTAGTAACGGCATGCGGACTCTTAGTTGCGGCATGCGGGATCTATTTCTCTGACCAGGGATAGAACCCAGGCCCGCTGCCTTGGGAGTGCGGAGTCCTAACAGCCGGACGGCCAGGGCAGTCCTGGTAGCATTCTGTTTCTTGAGCTGAGTGGTGACACAGGCGTGTTTGCTTTATGAAAATTCAACAAGCCGATCACCTATGATTTGTCCCTTTATCTTTATATATGTTATGTTCTAATACAGAGTTCACGTAAAAATATTCCATTGTCGGGGCAGGGGGAGGTATGAGTCAAAGGGAGAGAGTTTCAGTTCTGCAAGACGAGTGTGTCCCAGAGCTCACTGTCCAGCCTGGTGCTGGAACTTAATCATTCTGTAGTGGACACTTAAAACGTGGCTAAGAGGGTACATGTATGTTGTGTTCTTATCACGAGTAACAGCAAGTATTTCTTCAATTATCACAGAGGGGAAAGAGGGACCTCATTAGTCACAGCTGTGCCAAGTCAGGCACGGATAAGAATCTGGGCCACTTGACTGGCCTTCTGGCCTCAGGTTAAGAAGATGGAAGAATGGCAGGGACTCACAGGCAGCCCTCAAACTCTCTGTGCCCCGAGGCCCCCCGCCCTTGTGTGGATGGTGGCCTCACCACTGGGCACACAGCTGTCGTCCTGGGGTCTCTTGTCACCATCAGTTTCCCTTGTGGACTTCGTGGTCACCAGCTCCCAAATCGTCCTCCTTCGTTTGGGCAGAGCGCACATCCTCCAGGAGGTTCCTGAGAAAGGGCTCAGGGCGTTTTGAGATTCTGCCTGTGTGAAATTGGTCTTTCTCGACCCTGTTACTTGATTGAAGACTTGGCTGTGTGTAGAATCTTGGGTGAGAAATCATCGTCCTACAGAACTTTGAAGGTGGCTTCCATCATTCCTTGATTCCAGTGTTGCATCTGGGAAGTCAAAGCCGCCTGACTCCTCTGTGTGTGCACAGGGCCCAATATTTCCTCCCTAGAAGCGTGCAGGACCTTCCTTTCCCGGGGGCTGTGAAATTCCACAGGAAATGCCTTGTGTGGGTCTGCTTCCCAGTGCGGGGCCGGGCACGTTCTGGGTCCTTCCCAGGCAGCAGTGCGTGTGTTCTATCCGGGACAAGTTCCTGCACCATTTCCCTGACAACTCTTTCCTCTCTGCGTTTTCCCTTTACTCTTTCTGGAACTCCTGGTATTTACATTTTGATATCCTATATAGCTTTACTTTCCATTTTTAGAAAGTCTTAGCTTGACTTTCCTATTTTATAACTCATTTCTGCTGTACGTTCAGAGAGCTTTCTTCAGCTTGCCATGCCAACCTGGTATAAAGTTCTCCGTTTCTGCCGTCATGGTTTTGATTTCCAAGAGCTGTTCCTTTTAACAGAGTCTTGTTCTTGTTTCATGAATACAGGGCCTATCTCTCTAAGAATCTTACAGTTTTATTTGGATTTTTTAACATTCATTCCTCCCTTCTGAGTCTCTCTTTTCATCTGTGCTGCTTTCTTTCTTTCCTTTTGTCTTGGTCTCTGCCATCCTAGGGGCCTTCTCCGATGTCTGGGAATCCTTGGCTATCTGTGATTAAGAGGCAGAACCTCTGAATGTGACAGGTGACTTTTGGTTGTTGAGTCTTGCTGTAGGGTGAGCTTTCTGGGCCATTTTTTGGGTAACCCCCAGAGCTGTTGTCCCTTTAGGTTGGTCAGATATTCAAGAAAAGAATGTTCCAGCCTCTTGTCTGGAGGGAAGATCGCGTCAGGAGCTGGAAGAGGGGGTGGAGCCTGGTGATCCGGCCACGCACTTTCCATGTGGACCCCTTGCCTCAGTTGTTTATGGCATTCCCAGGTCCAGACACTCTGCCTGACCTCCAGAGTAGAGCTCCTGACCTCTGCTGGGGAGAGGGACGGATGGGGGCTCCATTTTTCAGCCAGCCTGACCTCTCCTCTCCCACCAGGCTCGTCGGTAGAGGCCTCAGGACCACTCAACGCTTGGCCGGGAGGCCCGTGTTTATGCCCGGGGTTCTTCTGGAAGACTGTGAGGGGTACATCGGCTTGCATACTGGGGGACCCCGACCTTGTACTGGCCCAGCCTGGTTGTTCGCACCGGCTGCAGAAGCACTTCAGATCCCAGCCCGTCAACCACAGGGACGACCCTTTCCTGGGCTCCAACCACAAGCCTTGTCTGCCTGCTCCAAGCTCATAGTCTGTGAGCCCAGGAGACACAGGTGCTGCACATGGGGTACAAAGTTGGACAGAGACTCGGGGAGGGGACCCTGCCCAGGGAGGTGGGGGACGGGGGGACCATGAGTGCCCAGGATGGCCCCTCCAGGAGAGAGGCAGGGCAGACCTGGCTGAAAGCAGAATAGGGGTTTTGATCATCCCCCTGCAACTCGGGAGAGCCTTGAAGGCCTGTGGTCTGGGGTTTGTTGGCTTGCTTTTCCATTTTGCCGTGGAGGATTCAAGCGTGCACGTAGGCAGAGAGAGCAGTAAGATGGCCCCATGCCCCCCTCTCCAGCCCCCCAAATGTTCCGTTCAGGACAGGGTAGGAATTTCAGGAAGACGGCTCTGAGTGGAGGATGGAGGGAGGGGCGGCGCATCTGGGGGCCATGAGCAGTGATGGCTGTTCTGGGGCAGTGATGGTGGAGAGGGGACGGATCTGTGAGGTGTCTGAGAGGCCCAGCAGGAGGGTCTGGGCGTGCAGGTGGGGAACAAGGGAGGGGGGCTCCTGCACCCCGTGGGAGATTGGGGGGCAGTCGCGGCTGGAGATCCTCTTCCCCCTGACACCCTGCCCTCCCGGGCGCCCCTTTAGCTCTGGAAGCACTGCTGCTGCACCTGTCCCACCCCCATCCCCAGGGCTGCCCCTGATCGCCCCCTAAAGTAACGTCCACCCCCCCTTGGAATAACTGGAGCCATTTACAGAGAACAGGGTGCCGGGTGTTCAGCCTCCTTGGGATGGAACGCTGCCCTTCAACACACGGGAGGAGGACGCCCTTGGCTTTCCCACATCCGCTCGTGCAGGGATCCGTGAAGCCAGGCAGCCGGGGCTCGGGGCAGAAGGGGGGCGACTGCCCAGCCACGGAGAGCTCAGCCTGGCCACCTGCTGCACCAGCCTGCCTCGGCCAGGACGCAGGGACACGGTGGCAAGCGGCTGTGCCTTTTGGAAATCATACTTTTTAAGTTATTTAAAAATCAACCAGAGTGACAGAACAGTTTACAAAGGAAAAATCATCTATAATCCTTGTTTCAACACAACTGTCTTCATCTTTTCAGTGTTTTCTTCCAGTATTCCCCTCTATATACACACACATACATGCATATACATACACATGTACATATGCATGTATATATGCATGTACACACATATATTCATACATACGTCTATGTACATATGCTCTCTTTTTATATATATTCTGTCTCTATATATAAATATACACTTTCTAAATGTATATGTATATACAGGGGACACTTGAAAACATGCGTTTGAACTGTGGGTCCATTTATATGCAGACTTTTTTCAATAAATATATTGGAAAAACTTTTGGAAATTTGTGATCATTTAAAAAAACTTGCAGACGAGCCACATAACCTAGAATTATCCAAAAAGTTAAGAAAAAGTTAAGTACGTCATGAATGCATAAAAAAATATATATATACATATAACATACAAAATACACGTTAATCAACTGTTTATGTTATCGGTAAGACTTCTGACCAACAGTAGACTATTAGTAATTAAGTTTCAAGGGAGTCAAAAGTTATGCTCAGATTTTCAACTGTACAGGGGTAACTCCTGAGTTGTTCAAGGGTCAACTGTACATACTCTGTCATAGATAGACAGGTAGATAGATAGGAAGATAGATAGACACTTTCTAAGTACACACATACACGCTCTATATATAAAGAGATAAGGAGATGGATGGACAGAGTGTATGTACATACGTATGCACTCTGTGTGTATACATAGATTTTACATACATATAAATATAATTTAATAAGTATCTTGTTCACCCACCGGGCTTGTGTTTATCCTTCTTATTGTCTGTCTGGATAACATC